AGACGGCACGGATTCACTCGTCGAGGTGTGGACTCGATCAAATAAAGCAGACCAGGTTTTCAATGTACGAAGAGCATAATTCCACCTAGCAAACAAACGCCCACAGTATAGCCCCTGAATCCTCCACCACTGATTAATTATTCTTCACACAATGGAAGAGTCCCTAAGTTCCTCCGTTTGCAACCCACTCTCCTCCAAGCGACCATCTGGCCCCCATACCCAAACAACAACAGCAATTCCCTAACCACCCATAGCCCCCTTCCCCCTCTCTAACAACCCACAGTCATCTCCAACCCGCCGTCCACCCCCAACCCCTGATCAAACCCATTCACAAACCCCACCTCCCCAACCCCCACCAACTCAAACCGATACGTCATCCTTGGGCGGCACGCGAACGAATTCACCAACACCATCCTCTCCCCCCCGCCCACACCCACATCCACACCACTCCCCACCTCCCCCACGAACCTCGCCGTGCCCACTAACGCCCCCGCCGCCGGCCCGTCCACCGCGTACACGTCCACCGCCAGCGGCGGCCCGCCCGCCTGCACGCTGCTGTCGGTGATGGTCCAGTGCGGGGGGAAGACGGCGCGGAGCGTGCAGGGACCCGGGAGGGTGGTGCTGTTGGGGGTGGTGGTTGGGAGGTCGAAGGTTAGGGTTTGCGTGCTCAGGAGGCCGAGGTCGGGCCGGTTGAGAAGGTTGAGGCGCGGCGTGGAGAGCGGGTGGATGTGGGCGCAGGTTGCGGCTGCGGCGGCGGCGGCGGGTTCTTTCTTTTTGTGGTTGTGGGTGGTGGGGGTGGTTGTTGGGAGGGCGAGGGTGAGGGTGGTGAGGAGGAGGGTTGTGAGGGTGGTTGTGAGATGCATTTTTTTTGTGGTGGTTGCGGTTGTTGGGTGGTAGTTGGTAGTGTTGGTTGAAGTCGAGAATTTGGATGATTATTTCTGGAATTGGGTGCGGTGATGCGATGATGGAAAGATGAGAGCAAGAGCTCGGGTGAGGGGAGGCGGCTTGTTTTATAGACGGAAGGAGCCTGTCTCTTCTGCACCTGCTACCTCAGCATCACAATGTCATCCCAACATGATACGTCTTCGCCATGATTAACACGGCCGACCATTGTTCGGTGAATACGGCCAACAACCACGCATGGCCTCGTCTGTCCTCGACGGGCGTGTTGGTTATTGAAAAGAAAAGTGTCAACCTCGCGAGCGTCTAACACGCAATAGAGCGGCCGCTGGCCATGGCTGTTCCCAACTCCGCCTTCGCACAGGTAGGGTGATCGTAGAGTAGCCCGCGGCCTGGACGCTTCCGATATGTCGTCCTCGTATGCTTCTGCTGCAATGTAATATTGTGACATCTGATTCCGCAATTTCCGTCCCGGGCAATATGCAGCCCGTTGTCAAGCCATGAGCTGGTTGACTCGAGAGTGAGGGAATACCCAGGGCTACCTCTGCCCCAAACTACCTATGCTTGATATGTAGCAGCTTACTACTTACTACCTTATCGTCGATAATCTTGTCGTCTTTTTAAGTGGTTCCCCAGAATATCTCGACCGTGGAAGCAACAAGCATCGAAAGGCGTCTAGACTGACTGGCCTGCATCCCCGAGGGCCGGAGTGCAACCCAAGCGCCACATGGGATGAATACTATATAACTCGATGTCACAGGCACCCTCGTGTTGGGTAATTGCCACTTACCCAGCAGGTGCCGCCGTACGGTACAAACACGGCACTAAATGTCCTCGAAGCGCCTCGAAGCGCCGACGATGGCAAACATTCAAGCATCAGCCACAACAAGCGACAAACTGGGCATTCTGAGTCTCAGTAGATAATTTATTGCCATGTTGCAGGCCATAGCAACGAGGCATTGTTGCTCAAGGTCCAGACATCCTCAGCCTAGCATGGGTAAGGTAACTGTCGTTTCATCTAATGTTTATCAAGTTCAGAAATGTAATAAGTATGAATGCAGAAAGGAGAAATCGAGTTTATCGAAGTGGGGTGACTCAGGCACCGACAACTCGGATTCTGTGGGCGGCAGCGCTCCTGGGTTTCTGTAGGCGTGATTGAAGTCATCATCTCATCCAATCCAATGGCTGGATGGCCGAGTGGTCTAAGGCGGTAGACTCAAGAAAATATCTTCCCCATTCAATGGGGCGTATTCTACTCTCGCAAGAGGCGCGCGTTCGAATCGCGCTCCAGTCAGTTACTTTTTCGGGTTGTTTCCGTTGGTATGGGGGGACCCCCTTTTTGGTTAATCGTTGTAGTAAATAAGTTAGACTATGACGACCATTCATCTAAACGCCGTTTTTTATTTTATTTTTCATTAGGTACCATCCGTCGAGGAATGTCCCGGAGGAAAGAACCCAAGGTTGGCAGCGTGTGACAATGCCGGCGGCAGGCATTGTATCATCGTAAACACACGCAACCAATGGCGGCCTGAGAGATCCACTGGTGTAATGCAGGGCGCCCGCCATGGATCGTTCCAAGTTGGCAGCCCAGAGCGTCATCAGGGCGGGAAGGAACGACTTGCTCAGTGTTTCAACCGCAGGATAAGCGAGTGCCCTGAGTTTCGTAACTCTTTCTCCTCACTTCCTTCCATACCGTGCCCCTTCAATTGAGTTTACAACCTCATCGTCATATCAACCCGCAGCCACCTACATACGACGCAACTACCACACAACTACAACGCAACCACAACTACAGCCACATATCTCCCCCCAACTTCCAAAACAAAACAACCCATCCCACAAGCAAAGCCCAACATGTCCACCTCCACCACCACCACCGACACCCCCACCCCCCTCAGCACACAATACGACACGCCCCTCGGCCTCGCCCACACCACCATGCAAGCCCTCAAGGACCGCATCAAGCTGCACTACGACCTGGCCAGCGACTACTACCTCAGCCTGTGGGGCGAGCACATCCACCACGGCTACTGGCCGACGGCCGCCTCCAAGGCCGCCGACTCCAAGGAGACCGCCCAGCTGAATCTGATACGGCTGCTGCTGGCGGTTGCCGAGATGCCCGGTGCCGGGGAGTTTGGTGGGGGTGATGATGGGAGGGCGACGACGACGACGGCGGCGGGTACGGCGTTGGAGGGGACGACGGGGTCTGTTGTTGCTGCTGCTGCTGCTGCTGCTGCTGCTGTTGCTGCGAAGAAGGAGCAGGAGGTGGGCGGGGCGCGGCTGCGGATTCTAGATGTTGGTTGTGGTGTTGGGGGTACGGCGCGGTATCTGGCGCGCGAGCTGGGCGCGGCTGTGACGGGGCTGACTATCTCGGGCAAGCAGGTGGACATGGCGACGAGGTTGAGCAAGGCTGAGGGTGCCGGTGGTGATGCTAGTGGGGATGGGACCGGTGACGAGGGCTTCATTCCCGTCGGCGACAAGGGCGGGCGGGTGAGGTTTGTCGAGCTGGATGCGGAAAAGATGGGCGAGTACTTCGCCCCCGGAGGCGACGGTGGGGAGGGGGGATTTCGACGTCGTCTGGATCAGCGAGGCCCTCTCGCATTTCCCCAACAAGGCGCTCTTCTTCCAGAACTCGCACAAGCTGCTTCGGTCGGGCGGGAAGCTGGTGCTGGCGGACTGGTTCAAGGCCGAAGACCTTACCGAGAGCGTGTTCGACGCGGATATCAAGCCGATCGAAGGTCTGTTCCCCTGCCCTCTCCCCAGTTTTGTTCGTGGTCTGGTGGTTGCTGATGCCATCTAGACGGCATGCTCACCCCGCCGCTCTGCACGCAACAAGGGTATGTGGACTTCGCTACGGGTGCTGGGTTGAAGGTCTTGGGCGGCCCCAAGGACATCAGCAAGGATGTTAGCAAGACGTGGTATGTGTTCTGGCGAGTTCATGCGAGGACCCTGGTGCTAACAGTTGTAGGGACATCTCGTGGTCGCTCGTACAAAACCCTTCGCTGTGGGCATTCGCCTTCAGCCAAGGGCGAGATGGCATTGCCTTCTTACAAGCCTTCCGGGCCATGAGGAGGGGTTATGCGAACGGGACATTCAGGTATGCTGTCATGTCATTCTCGAAGCCGTAACGAATCACGGGACGCAAGACGCGCCGCCGTCTTGGGGAAATCAGCCGCAGTGTGTTTAGCTAGATAGAAATCTAGCTCCTTGGTTTTTGAGACAGGTTCGTGGCTGGCACATAGCCTACCCCGTCCCGCAATAGGGACTGTCCCTGGAATAGCCACTTAGCCCACCAAACCACCAAACCACAAACGCCGGACCCAGCCAACCGGCTTAATCATGTATCCTCCGCTATATAAATAAATGCACGGGTATAGTGGTCATACGCAACTCAAAACAAAAAGAAAACGCAGCCAACGCAGGAGCCAGATTCGGTCAGCGTCCTCCCTTTTCTGCTCTCAAAGAATCAACCGCCGCTTGACAGGCGCCGGGGCAGGCTGGTCGTTCACAGTCTCTCGTTTCCCGAAGAGAGCGGCCTTGCCGAGTGCTTGAATCTTGTTTAGAAGGTGACTGTTGATGATTAGTATCAGAGTTGTCGAGGCTGCGAGTTTTGTGGGGTGCATTGTAGGTGGACTCGACCGACCACAGCTCAGATCATGGGGGAGATCAGATTGCGCGCCAACTTGTAGCCGGCACATATGCCATCTTGGCATCATGTACGCCTGGGGTTCATGTGGATGATAAGAAGAATAGGGGGGAAGTAGGCGTACTTGATGGGCATATGGCCACGACTCTCTGTGACCGCCAGGTTGATCTTCTCAGCCTGCACCTCGTGGTCCCGGAAATGTGCCTGAATTAATTCCTGCGCATCCTGCTCGTCGGCCGACCTGACGACGTAAGTGCAACCTTCTTCGTTGCACGTCCAAGTGCCGTCGGGTCCGCTGGGTGTCGTTGTAGGGAGGTGCTCGGCATGCACGACGACACGGACTGCACCCTCGGGCAGAGGCAAACGCGATCCGACGATTGCCTCTTCGCTGGAGGCAACGTCCTCGTCGCTTGTATTATCGGCATCGTCTGGCTCGTCGTCATCACTGATATGATGACTGATCTTAACCGACTTTCTACCCCGGCGACTTCCACTAGCTTGGTCGTCAAGCTCGGAATGCGGCCTCTTCTTAGCACTTGTGGCTAGGCGTAGTGTTGCCCCTTTACCAGACCTACGGTTGCGCTGCGGCAGTGCACGGAGGTCAGCGAACTCGTCCTCCGACTCGCTCTCCTCTTGTGCAGCACTTTTAGTCCCGATTTTGAGACCAATGTCCGGGTCCAGGGGTAGCTGGGTAGCTGGTTTTGTTGACGAGCCTGCTTTAGGACCCATCTTCGCCCGCCGGAAGGTCTGCGCAGGAATTTTGTCCGGCTCGGTCTGTTCCGACGACGGCTCCCACGGCTGTTTGGAAGCCTCTTCCAGCCAGTGATACCATGGGCTACCCTTCCACTCGTCACTTAGGCGTTCGAGGAGTTCCTTGGCGTAGTATGCAAGAATGTCCTTGGCACCACTATAGTGCCGGATTTTACACTTGAAGAACACAGCCGAGTTAACCCTGGAAGGTGCCGCCTTGCTGATATTCGCCTCGGTCGCAACTTCACTGAGGGCTCCCAGTAGCCTGTCAACAGGGGTTTCGGAGTCGGCGTCGGGTATGGGTATGTCTCCCGACGTGTCAATTTTCGGTGTAACCGTCGACATATCAGCCCTATGTGTCTCTTTCGGCGTATCGGCTTTGGGGGTCTCCCTTGGAATATTGGCCCTGGGCGTCTCTCTCGGCGCATCACTCTTGGCGGATGTTCCGATACGCCCCGGGGATGGCTCGGAACGCGCAGGCTGGGTGGACTGCCGATATCTCTCTGGCAACGGTATAGGAGTTTCGCTCAACTTGACCCTGGGTTTGTCGGGTTTTGCCTGTGGCATTGGACGACTCGGTGGGTCGTCTCGGGCTTCGCTGTTTCGGCTACTCGCCCTCGCTGACTTGCCCCTCCGGCTATGAGTCGCCTTATCGTCGATGGATTCTTGGGGCTCTGGAAGGGCCGAGGGAGCAACAACGCCGTTCGCAATATCGGTGAGTTTCTTCTGTATATCCTGTACAATGTTAGCTGGATTGCATTGCACGAGCAGGTTGTTGCGCATACGGGGTGTGAGCTACGCAGCCACTTAGCGAATGGTGTTACGTTCCAGTCCAGATCAAACTCTTTATCGAAATGGGCAATGAGAAACTCGGCCCATTTATTGTATAGGGCTACGACCTCATGGTGCAGTATACCGTCCCCCGCCCTGACGGCGTATCTGAGAAAGATGTCGTCCAAGCTCGGCGGTCGCGGCCTCCTTGTCTTCTTCTTGCTGGCACACGCCGCAACATACGATTCGTACACCTCGAAAGCGCTGTAATATAAGGTTATGGCCTCGCGAACCTGGTCGTACATGCGTTGGTATGCGGGAGATGGCCGAATCTCGAACCAACCAGCGGGGCCCGAGACCCAAAGGACGAGCGGGCCGTCTCCGATTGAGTATCGTTCGGAGTGCGAGATCTCGATATGCGCAGTTCGCACGCTCGAGCGGACGACTAGGTCAGGTTAGGATACGGTATCAATAAAAGATAGACCAACAGGCTCACGGTTGGGCACAAGCTTATCCTCGTCCACTTCGAGGTGGCCGCGAACAATCAGAGGTCCTTGGACATGAACTAGGAGCGGGTTGCCCAGCGTCCTGCCATCCTTTTGGTAAATGGTCGCGTCTGTCAAGACATAACAGGGCCAGTCGTTATCTGGTAAATCCCGCGGTGTCGGTTTTAGGATTGAGGATTCCTTCGCCCACCGGATCTGGGTTGGGTCGGCGTCTGCGGTAGCCGAGGCCGACGAGGCCCTTCGCCGTCTAGGTCGGCCTGCCATGGGAGCGATTGGCAGCGGGTTGATGTAATTTAATCACGAGTTTGCAAGTGCTCAAACTGCAACCCTCTCGGCTGGATATGATGTAGGTGTTGTCAAAAAAAGATATGGTTTGGTTAAGGAACACAGGTAATCCGTACAATGGATTCCAATGTTACAGGGAAACGATTCACATCTGCCGGCTCTTTAACTACACGGCGGCAGGCACGCCACTAACGCGACCAACGCGAACTCAAGAAAGTGGGGTTGCCTTAAGAACAAGGGATTGGTATAAATACTAAATTTTGTCGAAAGTAAAACTACACCTTTTTTCCAGGTAGCTCAGGGTCGTTTTCTATCTAGTTAATTGTATCTTGCCTTTTTTCTTTTCTCTCCTCATCTTTCGAGTTCGAACCGTTCCTCGCCTTCAACACAGTGCGTATCAGCCGCGACCCCGGAAAGTGGGTCATGCCCCCGCAATCGATAACACCGCTCGGAGCAAGAAATCGAAGACAAGAAGCAAAGGAAGCCGGCACAAGAAAACAATACAAAAAATCGAGTTGAAATAGAAAAGAACAATGGACTTTTGGCTTCCTAATGGTATTGTTTTTCTTATGTCCTCTCGAAGGTTTTATCACTATCTGTACTATATCTGGAGTGCAGCTTTTTTGGCTGATGCGGTGGGGTGCGCAGCCAGGCACCACAAGGCCCACCCATGTTCTCGAACCTCTCTTGCCTGGCTTGCCTGGGCACCTAAAATAAATTTCGCGGTCGCATGCTCAAGAATACGGCGGACACATCTGATTGCGCCAGTATCCCTTTCACGATTTCCCCCTTAACCAATGCAAACCGAACTGGTTCAAACCGCCTAATTCGCGGACTTTGATTCCTATTTCCTCAGCCCCCCCCCCCCATGAGGTTTTCTCGAGCTGTCAAAATGGCCACCGACAAGATTGTTGAGGGCGTTTTCGGTGTGTACTCTCTCGGAGCATTGCGCAGGTGCCTTTCGTTGCTGACTTGAGGTAGCCATTAACAAGCCCGTTGGTATGAGCTCTGCTCAGATTATCCGCGACTGCCAGCATCAATTCAACCCATCCGCCCTCTTCGCGCCTCTCCTTAAACAAGAGCAAGCATTGCGCGACAAGGAGTCCCGCTACCAGAAACACCGGCGCGGCAAGGCAAAGCGAGCTCTTCAAGTCAAGATGGGTCACGGGGGCACCCTCGACCCGCTCGCCACGGGCGTGCTAATCCTCGGCGTCGGTAAGGGCACCAAGTCCCTCCAAAATTTTCTCGAGTGCACAAAAACCTACGAGACGGTCGTCCTCTTTGGCGCTAGCACCGACACCTACGATCGTACGGGCCGCGTCCTAAAAAAGGGCAACTACGACGACGTCACGCGCGAGGCTACCGAGAAAGCCCTCGAAAGCTTCCGCGGCAAGATCAAACAGATGCCCCCGCTCTATTCAGCGCTTAAGATGCAAGGGAAACCACTCTACGAGTACGCCCGCGAGGGCAAACCCATTCCGCGCGAGATCGAGACACGAGAGGTCGAAGTCGCCGAGCTGGATTTGGTCGAATGGTACGAGCCAGGCTCTCACAACCATCGGTGGCCGACAGAAGAGGCCGAGCAGGCCGAGAAGAACCTGGTGGATTCGGTGTGGCGAGTTGCGAAGCGCCAGGCTGCCGCGACAGAAGAGGGGGTGTCCAGGACGCTCACTCCCGAGCAGCAAGATGAGGAGGACAAGGCGCTGGCTGAGTACAACAGCAAGAAGCGCGAGGCGGAGGCGCGCGTCGACAGCCTAGTCAGCGACGAGCGACCGGCGCCGCCGGCTAAGCGCAAGAAGACCAACAAGGGCGACGCCGAGCCCATGATGTCGGGCGCCCTGGGGCAGCTGCCGCCCAAGGGCAAGGGGTCGAATCTAGTACCCCCGCCGCCGTCGGCGGATACACCGCCACCGTGGGAAGGCAAGGGCCCGGCGGCGGCCCAGGATCAGGATGACGGTCACGTCGGGCTTCTACGTGCGGAGTTTGTGCCATGACCTAGGAGAGATGCTTGGGTGCGGCGCCATGATGGCCGAGCTGAGCCGCACGCGGCAGGGGCAGTTTGCTATCGGCGGCGAAAACTGCCTGCAGTACGACGAGTTATTCCAGGGGGAGGATGTTTGGGGCCCCAAGGTAGATCGTATGCTGGATTTGTGGAATAACCCGAACACAGAACAAGCCAAGCCCAAGGTGGGTGACGCGGTGAGCTCGCCAGCAGAGGCGAATGAAACGAGCAAACCGGCGGCCAAGGGCAATGATTCCCAAGAAGACAAGCTCGCCAGCGAGAGCAAGCCGGCGGAGGACGCCAAAACAACGGAGACGGCCCCTAAATCGGAGCCGGCCAGTGATTCAGTAACGACGAAAGAGGAGCAAACCGCTGCGGCGAGTGCGTAGTGGCACCATCTCTTGTGCTCTTTTTCGTAAGCCGAGAAGCGCCTAGCCCTATCTATGGGCTGGTGGGTAAGGGTCCAAAGTCCCATGCCGACTGGGGCGATGATGAGCATGCTCGACATGACTGAACACATTCAAGAGGAGTGGACAGCGTTGGTGCGCCTTGAGGTCACCATTCAAACGGCGTTGCCATATCAAAACGAATAAACAAATTGCCCAACCAGTGTCCGAATCATGCAGGCCTCGTGAACTCCCAATGCTCCCCGTTCCTTATGCCCTATCCCATGCCCATTGCTCAAAATATACAATATACCCCAGCCCGCATAGCCTCACTCATCAGTCATATCCGACATATATACCCCCGCCTCCCCATCACCTCCCCCCATCGTTACTCCCCATCCCACCGCCATTCCCACCACCATCACCCACCACCCCCTCCAAACCCTCCAACTCCCCCAACACCCCCCTCACCCTCTCAATCCGCCCCACCGCCCTCTCCAACCTCTCCAGCCTCCTCCTCTTATCCCCCTCCCGCCGCTCCAGCTCCCCGACCCGCTGCTCCAGCCGCGCCCGCGCCCGCCGCTCCGCCGCCACCATCTCGTTGGCCTGCTCGAACAGGCTAGCGCTGAGCTCCTCCACCTCGCGGCTCGTCTCGCTGAGCCGGCCTTCCGCTTCCGCGCGGAGGGCCTGCTCGCGCGAGAGGGCGGAGAGCAGGTCGGAGGGGGTGAGTTGGGCGGAGGGCGGGAGGGAGGGGGGTGTGTTGGGGTGGTGGTGGTGGTGGTGGTGTGGGGGGTAGGAGGCGGAGGAGGGGAGGGACGGGATGGGGCTTGGTGCGGAGGGTTTTTGTTGGGGGATGTTGGTGAGTGGTCGGAGGGTGGGGGGGAGTGTTGGTGCTGGTGTTGGTGCTGGTGTTGCTGCGACTGGTGCGGGGGGAGATTTGCGGGTGAGCAGGGCGGAGATGCGAGTTGCGGCGCTGGTGGTCAGGAAGGAGGCTCGAGATGGGGAGGGGGATGGCAGGCCGGCTGCTGAACTGGGCGGTGTCGGGAGGGAGGTTTGTTTTTGTGTCTGTTGGTGTTGGGCCGCTGTTGCTGCTGACGCGGAGGTGGGTGTCTGTGGGCGGGCGTCGAGTTGGGCTCGGAGTTTGGCGAGTTCGTCTTCGTAGTCAGCCCAGCGGTCGACGGCGGCCGAGGCCTTTTGGTTGAGCAGGCGAACTTGGGCTTGCAAGTCGGATATATGCTTCTGGGCATCGAGAAGGGCGGTTTGGGTCTCTTCGAAGGGCGGCAAATCGGCACCGAAGCCGCAGTTAGGGCAGCAGGGGGTCTGCGTTGGTGCAGCCCGCAAGGTACCGGGGCTAGCGACGGTCATGGTTGTGATTGCAGTCATCGCTCAGGAAAATAATGATGGTATTATTCTTTATGATTCTAGCCGCGATCCGGCGTCGTCGTCGAGTGCCAACAAAATTTCACTATTAGGCGCCAGCGGCGTCTTTGTTTGTTGGTTGTGTTGTCTCAGTCAAAAGGCTGGAAGGGGCTGGAAGTGTTACTGGTGGCTCGAAGGAGGGGTGGCTGGTTCTTGGCCAGAATGCTTGGCTTCCAGGGATCCATCGATTTGTTCTGACGTCTCGCATTGTTTCTGCATGGCCAAGCCCCACGATCGACGTCGAATACCGAGGACACGCACCACATCGAAACCCGGGACAGGGAAAAATACCCTGGATTACTGGTTCACACGTGGTACTATCACGAAAGAAAAGGGAGCCGTAAGTGCCGTCATCCCGTTGATTGGCCTGGAAGATCTGGTCCCGGGCCATGAACCCAGATATTGGGCCACACTATGGTAAGCGTGTGCTCGTCATGCACCGGGCCGGGCACTGCCGTTACACGGAGTACCATTTTGCCCAACCTATTTGATCACCTGTCTGTTCAGAGCAAGCAAGCCTAAAGCCAGTCGCATGTCCGCTTCCGCCAGTAATCATGACTGCGGTGATTCCGCCGGTCCATAAATACGCGGTATTTCTCCCGTAGATAAAACCGGAGATGTCAAAAAGCCCCATCAAGAATCTTGATGTTTGACAAAATGCAGCCGTGTTTGGCTGTGGGCGTGGAGCGGGCCGTCAGTAGTTGGAGTGATGCTAGAGCCGTGGACACCCAGCTGTCGTTCATTTGTCGCAACAGCTTGTCCGAGTATCATCGCGTTCGGCATGGGTGAAGCATAACTGCTCAATTCCAACGCAGCGTAGTCCAACTCACTGCGGCTGTGGCTGCGCGACCTTCCTCAACTCCATGGCCCCTGTCTCCGGATCCCGGAACTCCTTCCAACTGACCGGCTGCATCGTATTCCCTGCCTCGCTGACAGCCAACACCACCCCCAATTCATTCCTCGTCGTCGACAGGTAGTAATTCGCTTGATCACCTAGCGAGATCTATCCCCACCACCATAGTCAGCACCTCTCAACCTATCCCCCAGCCCAAGAAAAAAAAGAGAGAGAAAGAAGAAAAAGACTCACCACCTCCGCCCTCACCACATCCCCCGGCCGAAAGCTCTCATAAATGCGCACGCGGTCCTTCTCCGTCGCCCGCACGTCCTGCACACGGATCAGGCCCTGCCACTCGGCCTCGAGCACCGAGTCGCCGCACACCAGGATCGCCACCACCGCCTGCCGCGGCGTGATGCGCACCACCCGGCACAGCACCACGTTGCCCACCTCGGGCAGCACCTCGCGCTTCTTGCGCTCTCCTCCTCCCGCCCCCGCCCCCGCCCCAGCCGCCGAGGAACCCCCCCCCAGGGACGCGGGACGAGCGCACGTCCGCGACCGCCACCGAGATGGTCGGCCGCTCGGCGGGGGGCGTCGGCGCGGGTGCCGGCGCCGGGGTGATCTTGGTCAGGCGCTTGGCGGGGCCGGGGGCGCGCTGGCGTGGTGGTTGCTGGGCGGGTTGGGTGATGTGCACGTGCCCCAGCAGCGAGGCGTACAGGTTGGCGTTGTGCAGGTGCGTGCCGGGCCCGGGCTGGTAGCGCGAGGCGGGGCCGAGGAGCTGGCCTGGTATGGCGAGGGTTGGGGGGGCTGGTGTTGTGGTCGTCATTTTTTGGTTTGTTTTCTTTGAGATGAGATTTGAGGTGAGGTTTGGAGGGTGGAGTTGAGTGGCCCAGTGGTTGGTTCGTGCAGGTAGGTAGGTGGATATGGATGTGGTTGGTTCTGGCTTAAAGATTGGGCGGGATGTTCCGCGGTTTGTTTGTTTGTGACCTAAATGTCAAGGTTGATGTGGTGATGCTGCGAGACGTTTTCTGGAGGCCGCGGGATGCGGATGTGGATGGGATTTGCGGATCCTTGGCAGTAATGGATGCCGGCAACTTGGGATCCGGGTCGTTCGAGCAAGCAGCAGGAAAAAAAAATAGCACGGGATTCTGCCATGCAGAGCCATCTCTTTGGGGAAGGACTTGGCCTGTTATTCGCTGGCTTTCAGTGGTGTCACTCCGCTGATTTGCGGGCTTCCCCTGCCCAGCCGTGCCAGCACCTCACCGCTTTCCTTGGCTGCTGCTGCAAGGGTACAGGGGCAGCGCGCCTGGGCGACGACGCGCATTTCACAATTCTTCATAAGAAACCCCCGTTTGTTTTCTGTTTCTTGGATTTCCCCCATCTTCTTCCCATCCCCCACCGTCCATCCCACCCCATTGCCCACCACAATGGCACCCAAATCCGGCTCTAAGAAGTCGTCCTGCTGCTCCGGCGGCATCGGCGGCTGGTTCAAGTTCCTAGCCATCCTCCTCGGTGTGCTGGCGCCCGTCTACTACCTCCTGGACCAGAACCTGGAGCGCTTCTACATCTTCAAGCTCGACCAGCTGCAGGATGTGTCCTCGCGCGCCATCGAGAAGCACGGCGATGACACCCAGGCCATCGTCAAGTACATCGTTGACGAGCTTGCCGGCCAGGTCAGCTTGACGAGCTTCGTCAACCAGGACGAGGAGTGGGTGTTCAACAACGCCGGCGGTGCCATGGGCGCCATGTACATCATCCATGCCAGTACGTTTCCCTCCCAACCCAACCCAACCCAACCCAACCCAACCCAAAACTAACCCCCGCCCTCCCAGGCATCACCGAATACCTCATCATCTTCGGCACAGCCGTCGGCACCGAAGGGCACACGGGGCGGCACACGGCGGACGACTACTTCCACATCCTGACGGGCACGCAGACGGCCTACGTTCCCGGCTCGTACGCGCCCGAGGTGTACCCGCCGGGTTCGATCCACCACCTGCGGCGCGGCACGGTCAAGCAGTACAAGATGGCCGACAGCTGCTTCGCGCTCGAGTACGCGCGCGGCTGGATCCCGCCCATGCTCTTCTTCGGCTTCGCCGACGGCCTGTCCAGCACCCTGGACGTGCCCACGCTGTGGCGCACGTCGTGGCTGACGGGCAAGCAGATGATTGGGAACTTGGCCAGGGGCAAGTTTTAAGCTGGGCCCGCTGCGGGTTGTTAGTTGAGGTGTTGGAGAAGGGAGGGAAGGCTTCCATGATGTGTGGTGGGAGACGAATGAGTTGCGTGTACGACAATGAGGTGAGCCAAGGCCGGGCTGGCTGGCGCAATGACTGGGGATTAGACGCGATAGAAAGGATATAGGAGGTCTGGGGCATGTGTATGAACTTGTACATGGCTTAGTATCTAATTCATAATGAACCAGTGGGGTTGTCGGTAGCTTGCAGGTTCACGGGAGACCCTCTCTCTCACCTTGGAACGGATGTCCGGGAAGCTGAACGAGAACGATCTTGTTCTAGTCAGTCACAGCAACAACAACAACAACAACAACAACAACAACAACATGGATGCAAAAACGATTTTTGGCTATGCAATTGCCCTTACGAGCCAACATCTCATATTCAAGCCCTCTAAACCAGCCGAGGTGCTGGGCCCGCTCAGGGGAGGAAGAGCACCATCTCCCGCCATCATCAATGCTGCCGCGCACCATTTTTGGTTACGTTTTTTTTGTTTTCCCCCAGTCCCCCCCAACCCGGCCTCGAGCGTGCCCTGGAACGCCTATAAAACAGAGTGCAATGCATGTTAAATACAAGCCAAGCATTCACTTAACCCTTTCTCCCCTCCCTTTCCAGTACCGGGCCATCGCCCGCCGAAATGACGTAAGCCATCTTTTTTACTTTTCTGTTTTGGTTCGTCTTGCCCCGGGCCAGTGCTTCTTGGCTACTGTGATCTTCCATGGCGGCAAGAAGGGCTCGGATAGCGACGAAATAGCGTACAAAGATAGAGCGGAGAATCGATCCGGTGCCCGATAACGAGCCTTGATAGGTGCCGCGCGGTGGCTCAGGCCAGCCATTCCTCATCGTCTCGCTTCAGGCCCCGCATGACCAGGCCATCGTCCTCATCCTCGCCATCCGACTCGAGTGTCACCTGTTGGAGGGTGGTGATATAGCCATTCAGATGGTGGACATCGTGCGAGTGAGGAGCATGGCCGGTGGCGACACCGTTCCCGTTCCGGTGTACGTGGTTGCCCCCGCCCCCGCCGTCTCCCTCGTCCAGCATCCATGTCAGGCCATTCGCCTGCTCTTCTAGCGGGAAGACCTCGCGCGCGTACTCTTCCAGGCCCCGTGGGCCCTCCCACAGCTCCAGCGCCACTCTCGGGCAGCTCTCCTCGAGGGCGGCGTCGCCAAAGTATGGGGGCTGCTTCGTGGGATCGTCGTGGCCCATTCCAAACAGCGCCTCGAGCGCCTCCAGCTGGGCGCGGTAGCCCTCGGGGATGGTGACCTTGAGCTCGATGGGGCCGTGGACGTACCGTACCGGCCGGCCGACTCCCCGGGAGAAGACCTCGCAGGCCTCCTTTGGCGAGAGCATTTCGTATGCCAGACCAACGCGCTTGCCGCCTCCCCACTTCTTCACGCCGTCTTTAAAAATCTGGAGAATGGCGGGTCCGACGTCGTGCTCGGCGTCGAGCCACGGGAGTTTTACATCAGGATGGAAAGGGGCTTGCCAGATCCAGGAACCGTCTTCTTGCAGATCGGTACAGAAGAGCGGGTAGGGGAGGGACGTGAAGTTGTTGTTGTAAATCCCGGTATAGACAAAAGTCGCGGGGAGCCCGATCTTTTTAACATACTCCTCGACCTTGTGCTTCGACGCCCAGAGCGGCAGTGATGGCCATTCCTTATTGTAGGCGTGGTGATCTGGCATGGACGAGTAAACGTAATGCTGAATGCCAGCGCGCTTAGCCGCGTCTGCCAAGGCCTCTCCGATGTGTTGCTCGTCCCCGTAAAAAGTGGTGTTGATGAAGGCCAGCTGGGCGCCCCTGAAGAGCTCTGAGATGAGGGCGTGGTTGATGCCGATGCCGGAGATGGGGCCGTTCCGCGTCACGTCTACCTTGGCCGTCTCTGCCGGGCGCTCCTTGGTGTACAGCTCGCCCTGGAGAACCGTCACATTTGGATTTGTGGACACTTCGGTCGCTACGACCCCCTCCAGGTTCCTCAGTTGCGCTCGGACATGGTACCCGACCGCGGAGGCCACCCGGATGAAGGAGGCGGCCTGCCTGCCGCTGGCATTTATGACGGCAATGGTCTTGTCTGGTGAGGGCATCGACCGCTTCGCCGGGCGGAAATTTAATGAATTATTCCGAGACATGAGCGGCGATGCGTCCGAGTATGACGAGCGCGAGTGCTTGTGTCTTCTTTCGTCGGTGTTGACGTTGGTGACTCCCCTGATGTCCCGTGGAACCGGTCTGATGGCGAGCTCCGAATGTAGTTCGGCCGCCATCGGGGCGGTGGTTTAGGCGTGTTTCTTGCCCGAAAAGTTGCCAATCTTGAACGGATCACTCCTCCTCGGGCTCCTACGTCGGGGCCGGTCGGTATATATGAGCTCTCTATTCGAAGCGAGGTGGTTTTGCCCAGCTGTTTGGAACGTGGTGTGATGGTTGGCGCCCGGGTGCAGCGATTCAAGATGCAAGGGTTATCTTCGCAGGGAAAGGCTACCTGAGGTACCTGCCGGGAGGACGGGAACTAGGTAGGTAGGTACCTATGCACGACAAGCAGATGGGAGTGCGCACGAGTACACAGGAGGGCGTACGATTGTGTGCGGGATGGCGGTGAGGTAGCTTCACGGAAATTGGAACTTGTCTGCAGGCGTGAGAATAAACCGAATGAATCGAGTAAACCGATCGAGGGCCTTGACGGGTAGCCGGTGCCGCATATCACGAACGGGCAATCGAGCTCGGCGCAGATGGCGTACAATTCTGGATCGCGTTTATCTGTTAGTGGGGTTCCTCGCAGATTGCGGGGCAGGCCGCATGACGAGGGAACGCTGATAAACGGAACGGACAAGAGCAGCAAAGAGAATTGATGAGCCGAGCGCAACAGGGCGGGCAGGCAAGCAGGCAGGCAGAAGCGAGGCGGCGGGTGGCAGCCGAGACAACAGACGGAGTACGCAACTCTGCAAATTTGTGTTGGGACGGCCCCTCTCAGTGTGGTCATCGATGGTGCAAGCACAAGACGACCCAAAGGCCAGACGTCTGTCCACATGACGAGCCGCAGCCGGGATGGAGACTCATCTCTCTGCATGCCATCGTGTCCGAGGGCCTAGATTTGCCCCGCTGTGTTTGCGACCGACAGGGACCGTTTTGTGCCATGTAGCAATTGAAGGAGGGAACGAGTTTAGCCCATGAGCCCACATGGGCGAACGAGTCGGCCTCTCTTCCCCACCACCCGCGTTTTTGTTACGGCTGCGTTCATGGGGGGAGGGAAGGAAGGAACCCACCGTATCCACAAGCTGAGGGCTCAGCAGGCCAGGAAGAAAAGCTTCATCAAGGGAGTAAACTTGGCTTCAGCTGTCCAATCGGGATGATCGCAAGAGACGTGTGGTGCCAAAGAAAGCCTTCGAGAGGGCCGGCCTACGCAAATCATCAGGACACGCACTTCCATCCCAATAGGACCTGGGTAATGAATCATTGGGAATTGGGGGGGGCTTTCATCGGTCACCGACCTCGGCTCGCGGGCAAAGAAAGAAAGAGCGGAAAGGATACCAGTTTGTCAGAGAATCCAGGGGTCCGGTATGCCCAAAACATGCAACCCATCTCAGCCGCCATCCAGGTGTCGCCTTGGGGTAGGGGAGGCAAGCTCGCAAGGTAGGCACGGTAGGCTAGGAGAGACCTGTTGGCTTTACAGGGATGGGGGAATGGCGTGGAAGAGGACGAAAAACTGGATCCCGTCGATAACACGCAAAGCGGCGCACGAGGCACAGAACCCAGATGCATCATCAGCAGACCAGAGGAGTGGGTTCCGGGGATGGCTGTTAGCAGTGTACATGTACCTGTGCCCCGGACACTGAGAGCGTTGCACAGGAGCGTAATAGGCGATAGTAAAGATACGGCGGGCCCCGGCGTTTGGCGCCGCTTCCGGAGAGCTTTCACCGTTGAAGGTTCTTGCCCTTCCGGGCGCTTCGAGGCGTCCTTCGAACTGATAACTCGATCCGTCCGAAAGGGGCAACTGCGGTTGCTCGGCATTGTCATTTGCCTTGTGCACCCGGGCACTTACACCCAAACCCTGATCAGCAGCTGGCAGACGGAAGAGATAAGGCTTTTCGGCCCGCCACCGTCCGTGTCGATGGCGTCAATTTCTCCCCCCCACAGGAAAAAAAAAAAAAAAAAACGTCTGATGATCAACTGGAACTGGGCCTCTGGGTCAATGGGTCAATGGCCCCTCTCCTCTGCAGCTAGAAGTTGTCGTTACTTGATAATTACCTTCCGGATTCATATCCGACGACAAATTCGTTAGCAATAAGTCTTGGCAGGGCCCATCGCTGGGCAATTGGAGGGAGACAGCGGGAGGCATCATCCTTCGAACCCCAAGCTCAGCAACATCTCCTCACACGGGCGGCCATCCGAGGTGCTGGTTGGGCTCTTTGCCATGCTTGTTTTCTGCCACGCCTGTTTTCGGCCGCCTGTCTCTGCGTTATCAGATCGTCGTTTGCCAAGCTGATTAGTTAATTACACAGTACAGGGAAAGATGCGCCCTCGATGAAGGTTTCTCGGCGAACGGCGAAAAGAAAGGGGAAGAAACTGCTGATCAGCGTCCCAACGAAGCGAGTGTGATAACGACAATTGTGACGTCCGGCTGGTTATCTCTCCGGGATCCGATCAACCGGCCCGGGGATAGGTGGTTCTGGGGGGAGCCCAAACTTTCGGCGTCCATCCATTTCCCCACGATTCGGAGCATATCCGCCAATTTTAGTCTAAATTTGTGGGGAAATACCGTTTGGACTAGCGCCGCCTTGTGAGCCGCTGAACAAGTGAGGGCCAACGCCCTGGATGCTGAGCTTCAAAAAGTCGGCGAGGTCTGGATCACTGCAGCGGCCAGTTCATGAAGTGATAAACACCCGTTCGCAATGTTGCATTTCCCGCGGAGATGTTGGGCTCGGCGCTGATGCGTTGTGCAACCCGAATTGGCCCAGGCCTGCCCTAAATTGTGCTAGCGGCCCTGTTTGTACGTAATTGAAAAGAAAGCAGACGCCCAGCTTCCGAGTCTTCATTCTTCTCGAGTCAGGCCAACGCTCAGTCATCCCCAACCCTCGAGTTTTCCAACACACAATGGCATCCCCTGTCCTTCCGAGGCCAGCGCCACACCAGACCGCCCTCCCTCTCTGACGCCTCGGCACTCCCCACGACACGTCTCTCTCATGCTGTGTTCTGCCGGGGGTCGGAGGAAGAATAGCCGGAACCCGAGAACCACCTGAATCGTCTTGTACATATTTGGGATCCAATTGACCAACCCGTGTGATTACACTTTGTCGAAACCCAATGTTCATCCCCCGGTTTCCCCAAGCCAGAAACTTGTTGTGATGTCCTGTTGGACCCAAGACAGCTCCAGATAGAGCTCTCACCGCCATGGCGTGGCCCGTATCGCCACGGGAGTTTTACATCGGGGTGGAAGGGGGCCTGCCAGATCCAGGAACCGTCTTCTTGCAGGTCGGTGCAGAAGAGCGGGTAGGGGAGTGACGTAAAGTTGTTATTGTAAATCCCGGTATAGACAAAAGTCGCGGGGAGCCCGATCTTTGGCTTGGAAATCAAGACAACCATATGTCGGTTTCCCTGGCGCTCCTCTCCCGCAGCAGTTGTACAACAGTCTTTTGCGCCAATGGCTGAGTGGTCAAGAAACGGGTGATCGCCAACGGGGACGGGAAAGGTGAGAGCCAAGGGGCGGCGTTTGCGTCAATGCCCATGTCATCCTCGACTGACTCCCTGCTTGGGTGACTTGCCAGTCTTCAGAGGGCAAATGGAATCCCGCTACATAGTCGTGGTAATAGGTGGAGCTGATGGTATAGCGCGGGTCGGGGTTGGTACGTCAGGATATGAGAGGCAAGCTGATACCGCAGTCGGGTCGTTAGATGCGGGGACAATGATAAGAGGGTGAAGAGGGGAATGTCTTGAATGGCGTTTTCATCATCGGCATCATTCTCGAATGTGTGGGTGCCTGTATCATAACTTCGCTTTGTTGTTAGAATGTATCTGTTGCAAACATGAATGTTGACATACGCCCCGTCCACGCCCCCACGCAATGACAGCATGGTACGTTACTCGCAAGCTCTAGCCGGGTAGTTAGTCTTAAGCTAGTCCTTCAATGAGGTTAAATGTCCATAAAGTACAACCTGGTGACGGCCCCTCCCCTCCGTAGGCGAGGCTCGGAATGGGTTGCTGTAGTCACTTCGGTGATCTTACAGAGATTGGAATACGCCAGGGTTTACCATCCGTGAATGAGTTCAGGCGGTCAATTATCCGCTTGATTACGTCCCGTGTGATAATCGTTTGTTAGAGGCAGAGTAAAACATCAGACGTGAGCTCTGATACGGTTTTTGTGCTATCGGTCATTCTGAAGTATGAAACGTGCCTTGGCGAATCTAGGCCGCAGACTGGAATTCTGAGCAGAAAATGGAGACAGAGCCCAGGATAAGGCTAACGCAGAAAACGCTGATAGAACCTCAAAAGTACAAGTGTAAGTTCAGCCTTTTAATTACTAGAGACAGAAGCGGGAAGAGAAAAAGGAGGCCGGGGCTGGAGAAGGTGCAATATGTCAGCCGCCCCAACACGTCTATGCCTCTGGGAAGTAGAAGGAGACAGGTATGTCTGTGGAACGTTGTGGAAGCGCCGGTATGGTCGTATTGCGTTGCTTGAGTGTGGTGATCTCCGCGGGAAATAGATATGGGTGTTAAACCGGGTCTCAGCACAGCCTGCAGGCCTATGATAGCATACATACAAGCTCCAGGAGATTGATAGCTTGGTCCTGATACCTGGTAGGTCATGTCAGCGGCCGCGTATCCCCGGTAGAACATAGCAACCCTTCCGGCGCTGCCGGCGATCCTCCCCCCTTATCGTCTCCTGGAAGGAGGAACCGATAAGATACAAAATCGTCTGCGATAGCGAATCAGTGATTGCCATTTTGATGTGGGATGATGCACACGACTCTAAGGGTTGGTAGCGGATGGGAAGCTCTATTATGGGTTGCGCTTCTATAAAAACCGCCAACATGGCCCCGCCCCTGACTTCACGTAACTAATGCGACCAATCCATCTACATCCATACAACTGCAAATTGACAGCGCATGCTTCCCCCTTTCCTGCTTGTCACCAGGTGTGAGAACTGGGGTACGGGATCCCATCGCCTGTCATCTCACAACAGGGGATGCGCTGTACCGAGCGCGGAACCCTGGGCGACAAATCGGCCGGTGTTTCGGCTTGTGCTCTTCTCGCGAATGGAGCAGTCTATGATGGTTTGGCTCTGGTCTCTGCCAAATCACCGTCTGCGTCTTGGTCGACGTTTGGGAGTTGATGTCCTATGCTAGGCGCTGACGGCCACCTCAAGTAGCTGGAGCCCCGGGGAGCCTCTCAATGGCGTATTTGCCTTTCATGACGGACATTATGGGAACACCAGGGACCTTACGGATCCGCCTTTTAAGGTCGCGATCGTTTGCTAGATCACAGTTAGTAGGGGGCCCGGGAACGGTGGAGGGGGGCGTAGACATACTGGCAACAATGTAGATACGGTGTTTTTGTATGCGGTCGACGATGCACTAAATTTGTCAGTCCGTGAGCTCCTTGGAGACGTGGCGCACTCGGATGTTACATACGTCGTCGGCATATGTGCCTTTGTGGTCGCAAGTCAGGCGTGTCCACCTCTCATCGCGAGCAACTAGACAGCAGTTTAGCCGCATTCAACCCACAGGTTAGTTCAAGGGCACTCACTCATCAACGCCACCCGGTACTTTGGCCCCAGCTTTTCCAATTCACTGTACACCGCTTGTCAGAACCTAGGGAGTCCCAAGAGGTGGAGGCGGATACTCACGCCATAACACAGGATGTGATGATGATGTTGGCCGATGCATAGAGACAATCCATCGCCTGTGCAGATCGAGTCAGCGAAGATTCCCGGTGGGCAGTGTTGCTGGATCACATACTGATTCCAGTAGCGGAAGCTTGGCTCCTACTGTCCTCGAGAGGAAGTTGGTATCCTGGGACAAGTTAGGTCATGAAACCGCCGGGTGAACCCTGGACCAACATACCACCAGGACTTGATAGGGCTGTGAGAGTTGAGATTAGCGCCGTTCCAGGACAAGGACTTGGAGACGGAATGCTTACAGGAACCAAGGCTGTGTTGTGCTGAAAGAACATGGACGATGGCATCTGGGGTCTGTAAACATGTCAGCGATAAGGAACTTCACCATGACCATGACCACCAACGGCGGCATGACGACGTACACTTCACGGACGGCCTCCTCCTTCTTCTTCTTCAGCTCCAGCTCGGCCTTCTTGACGGCATCTTCCTTGCGACGGTCATCCCTTTTCCCGATCATACGCTTGACCTGTACCGGGCGTTAGTATCTGTTCTTGTTCTCTGTTGACAAAGGATATATGGAGGTCACGTGCCGTTGCGAATTTTCTTGTCCGTTTGGCGACACCCATTATGTTGTTTCCGTTCGGCACAAGCGGGATAAAGTGTAATTAAAACCCGCGGATTATGTTATTTTGAAATGGTATATGTAAATCACTCGATGTGAAAGCTTGGTCGTTTTGTTTTGGTTGATGTGTAAAAGTTCAGTGCTCTTGCCGTGACGATAATTGATGAATGATTGATGCGAAGGTTGATGCTTCGAGCCTGCTGGTGATGCGCAACAGCTGGCGTCAGCTGGCAAAAGTTGGCAGACAAAGCGGCCCAGGATTGAGCTAAAATTGAAATTTTGTCGCATCTTTATTGGGAGCGACCTGCACCCACAGTGCGAACAAACGGTGAATCTCAGGCACCAGTTTTTGACCACCGCCAAACGCACGTCATAGTTCGTTGGGTTCGATTCTTCCAGCGATCAGATCAAACTTTCAGGGGCCGGGCCGCTCACTAACAGACGGGACAGGCAACCAGACTGCCGGAGTTGCCAGGCACTCAGGGCCGTCAGGGTTTAAGTTTCAAGAGTCCAAGAGTCTAAGATTCTGCAGACTGCAATCGAATATGCAACATCCCGATCAAGCCAGCAACCCGGGAAAGGTGGGCGATTGATTGTGTTGCATTTGTTTGTCAGATCGGAAAACAAATGAATTAGCTGAGGTGGCAAGTGGTCGACAAAAAAAGCCCTACCGCAAAACATCCTCACCACCATCAACCACCACCAAAGAGGGCAGTTTGTGCCGGTCTTTTCTCGCAATTCTTTCAAAAACGAGACTATTCACTTCCTTGACATCTTGCGTCTAATTCCAACGCATTCTTTAAGCGTATGGGCGTTGTTGAACTGCACTGATACGGTGGTGTTTGGTGGTGGGACAGTTTTGCGGTCTGGCTTAATTTGTCGCTCACTTGGGTGGGTTACTTGTACAAGTATGCGGCTGACCATGCTCCGTGTCCAGCGCCATCCGTACGGTACCAATGGGTCTTTCCCAGTTTCGAAGTGGGCAGCTGAGCTCTGAGACGGCGGCAGAAAAGAAGTGCGGCATGGTGCCTCTTCCCCTGCCGCTGCCGAGCCTGGGCAGACCCCAGGGAGGGAAGGAAGGCAGGGGAACGGCGCCTCTCTCGAGCTCCTTTTCCTGCCCTGCCGTTGCTGGTTGCGCGCGCAAAGCCTCAACCAACCCACTTTCACAATCCGTCATTCCCGATGCTGCGCCAGCCATGAAATAAACTCTGTCGCCAACATCAACAGCCGTTTTCGCCCCGTTTCTCAGTCGGTCGTTTGGCAGACGCGCCGCATCCTCTCGTTTGTTTTTTGTTTCCTTTCAGATCGCCGCCGAATCCAACTCAGTTCGTCCCGTTTGCCCCCGTCTGATCCAGTCGCGGGTCCGTATTGTGAGACCTCGATTCCGACGCCGCACGTCAGCACCCAGCCGCTTTTGCAGGCCCAACCATTTGGTCGCTCCCCTCGACAGTTTACTACGAAGCACCACTTCTGCTTCGTACAACAACACACTTACTTTGTCGGCGGACCGCCATCACACGTGTCCGGGCGACTCATTATATCGAACCCCGCCGTATCAACAACAACAACAACCAACACCAACATTCCGATCCTTTCCCACCGTTGCCTACCAGCGGCACACAACAGGTCGCCATGGGGTCCTCACCTCTCTCATTGAAGCGCGCCCTGCTTCTCACGGCGTTCTTTGCCCTCAGGGCCGTGGCCCAAGGCGATAACGAGAATGACAACAGGCCGACAGACGAGCCGAATAATAACCCCCCCGCGGTCACCAACACTCGAGAAAACCCGCCAGCGCAACAAACAGAAACGACTTCAGTCCGCGACCCCCCTTCTACGAGTACAGAACAAGAAAGGACATCATCACCAACCTCATCGCCTTCAACATCAACCGATGCCCGGACGCTACCGCCGCTGAGTTCTAGTATTTCCCGAACGGTCCCAACCGACATGCCGACTGTTTCAAGGGGAGGAGTCAACACCGAGGTCCCGACGTACCCACCACCGGCAATCCCACCAACACGCAATGCCCCCTTCATGAACCACTCCACCCTCCCCGACGGCACCGTCTTCATTGCGGTAGGCGCTATCCTAGGCGCCTTTGGTGTCGCGATTCTCCTCTGGCGCGCCATCGTTGCCTGCCTCTTGCACCGGTCTGTCGAGCGTGCCGCCCTTGCCCAGCACGCTGTCAACAACGGCCGCGGGCCGGGCGACAAGAACGCTGCTTCGTTCCCGGCGCCCCCGGCTCAATTCTACAAGTACATTGAGCGCGAGTCCTCCGCCTCCCTCGCTGGCGCGGGCCTAGCCAGCGGCACCGGACGGCGGACCAACCGCGGCCCCACGCCCTCCGCCACGCCCAGCCAGACGAACCTCTTCTTCTCGCCCACCGCTGCCGGGCCCGGCTCCGGCGGCGTCGGCGGATCGAACCGCGACTCGGCCCGCTACCTCCCCTCGGGCTTCTACGCCTCGGCTTCGCCCGTGCAAGGCGGCCACGCGCAGGGCAACTCGATCAGCATGAGCACGCTGCGGCCTTCGTCGCGCGGCCGCGGCGGCCACCTCGGCCCCTCGCCGCCGGAGTCGCCCGACGTCGGGCCCAGGGTCGTCTCGAGGAACTTCAGCACCAGCTCCCTGAATCTGAACCGCCCCCCCAGCCCCGGCGCCAGGGCCCCCAGCGCCTACCTGGACGACTTGCTTGATGAACAGCCAGGCATGTTCCCGCCGGCTGCCGGGAACCCTCCGCCCCCGGCCGGTCACGGGAGTCAGCGCGGGCGGTACTAGTGATATGCGCTTTGCGAGACTGCTGGCTAGAGGCTAGAGGGGGATGGATGGATGCGTACGGGGTTAGACTTTTGACGACTAATTGGGTGCTCTTTTTTTTTTATTCGACCAAGGGTTGGGGATGGTTCCCAAAATGGGGTTAAGGTTCTTCCGTCAACAGAACCTTAAACAGAAGGTGGTGGGTGACGCTGGAGTGGTTTGCGGAGTTTTGACACAGCGAGCCTTGTTTAAGCCTGCTGCTGCTGCTCTTCTACGTACGGCATTAGACGGATGGTGTTGTGGCCGCGCCTGACTTTTTTTTCTTCTCTTTTACTGCTTATTTTTTTTTTTTTCGCCCACGGTACATAGGCCTTGCTGCTTGCTTGTTTACTCCATATGCTTTTATCGCCAGTAATGAACATACCTTCTGCAATAGCGATTCCTGCGAGCGATCGATATCCCCACGCGAATGACTTCCCTATATATTTATTTGTCTTGCCCATCCATCTACCTACCCACCCCTATCCCAGTCGAGTTGACTACACAGCAACCAACTGTCTCACTTCTCGGAGACTTAACTTAACTTTACCCCCCCGAAACCCGACCAAGCCATGGCCTGCCCTCCCCGGACCAAACCGGAGTAATCATAAACCAACGTCAAGTGAGTGAGCACTGCTTGTGTGACAACACGCACCCCGCCACCAAACGCTGTGGAACACCCAGCTGTACTTATCGGGAGGTATATGGGGACAGGCATATGCGGTGGATGCATACCTACAGACAGAGGATCTGAGTCGGGGTTGGTTTTGGTTTTGCTAGTGATGTGGCTTGCGCAATGCGATGTCATTGCCATGTTGTGGGATGCGTGCGGTTTCCCGCCGCCGTGCAGTATGTGTGTGTATGTATGTATGTATGTATGTACACAGTATATAGATAACGTACAGGCATGGGAGATGTAAGTGGGAGGGGCACTTGAGGTGCGTGGTGTGGGATAAAAGGGTCGGTCGGTAGCTTCTTGACTAGGGGCGCCTGGTCGGTGAGATCGACTATCTGACTAACTGGCCATGTATGCTTAAGCCTCCCATCTCTCCGTAATCCTAAGAAGTCGTGGCGAGTGGGAAGCCCATAGTTACTGTACATATCTACCCGGGCGATGGCAGCAGGCGGGGCGAGACAGAGATGGTTTCGTATATTCGGCGACATCCCGAGTATCACAGCATGTGCCTCCGCCAACCGAGATGTGAAATGTGTGTCGCATCGTATAACCACGGCAGCCGGAACATCCGCTTGTGAACGGGGTATGGATCTAATTTCTCTTGACATGGCAACACGAGAACTCCACCTCTCGGCGGTTCGTATACAATCCCGCAATTTCTACTCCCGAACATTGGCCCCAGAACCTGGCGAAGGTAAATATTCCATGTTTATGCATTGCTCGCTTGTATTATCATTCACAAAACATTGTCTACAAAGCGGAATATGTAACTAACTACCGCTGAACCCTTTATTACACCTCCCAAGCCAACTCCGCCGTTATCCAGAGTGACATCTCAACGCTTCCTTTTCTTTTTTTTACCCCTTATCAGGCCTCCCCTTGGCCCGCGGGCGAACCTCCCAACCCCTCTAGTACTTCCTTCGCACCCCGAATATCCTCCATCCTGATACCGCTGCGCTCGCACATGCCCCTGAAAATACCGCCCTCTATCGCCCACAGCTCGATCGGGGGGCCCATCTCGGCGATGCGCCCCTTATCCATGACGCAAATCCGATCGTACCCAATGATGGTCCGTAGCCGATGGGCGATGCACAGCAGCGTCTTCCCGCGGAAACCGGTCGCCATGGTGGCTTGAATCTTGTCGTCCGTCTCCATGTCAACACTCGACGTGGCCTCGTCACAGACGATGATCTGAGAGCCGCGCACGAGGGCGCGTGCGAGCGCCATCAGTTGGCGCTGGCCGAGGGAGAAGTTGAGGCCATCTTCCTCCACGGTTGTGTCGAGGTGAATGCGGCCAGTGTCTTTCGAAACAGCGATCGCCCCGTTGTTTTCGTTGTTAGCCGCGGCTGCGCCCTCCGTATCCGAACCCTGCGAGGTGTCGGTCGACACGAGGTCGGCTTGCCGCAGGGCAGACCAGAGCGTGGGATCGGAGTGTTCGCCGAAGGGATCGAGATTGCTCCGCACCGTGCCACGGAAGAGGGTGGGGTCCTGCGGGATGATGGCGAGTCGGGAGCGCAAGTCATGCAAGCCGATAGTTGAGATGTCGAGGCCGTCAATGGTGATATGCCCCCCTGAGAGTTCTACCAGCCGGAAGAGGGTTGACATGATGGAGCTCTTCCCGGCGCCGGTGCGGCCCACAATCCCGATGCGCTCGCCGCCCTGGATATGCATGCTGAGACCTTGTAACACCAGCGGAAGCCCCGCACGGTACCGCATCTCTACGTTGTCAAAGACAATCTCGCCCTTTTCCGGCCAAGATTCCCTGACTTCGATCGTCTTCAATGGCGCCTCCTGCTCAAGCTCTGTGCCGTAGTAGCGGAGACGCTCCACCGAGTTCATACCATTCTCAACTTCGGCCAGCTGCCGCACAGTAAACTGGATCATCTGGACGATAGAAAGGATGTATGAGAGAACCAGGCCGCCGATAGACGGGTCGACCGAGAATCGCGACGTAACGACCAGGATTCCGGTGGTAAAAACAAGGCAGTTGCCTATCATATCGAGTCGAATGGACAACCACCTCTGATTGGAAAATGTGAGGAAGTAGGCTGAGTCCACGTCGTCGATCGACTGCCGAAGGTCGGCGATGAACCGGTCCTTCAACCCATAGGCCCTGATGCAGGCAATGCCGGACAGGCCTTCGGAAAACTTGGCAGACAAAGTTGACCTAAGAACCGACTCGATGCGCTTCACCTCTCGGGCTGATGCGCGGTAATAGGTGGTGGCGAAGAGGAAGATGATGACCAAGGGAACCAAGGCAATGGCAAAGTAGTAGAAGTACGCGATGATGAGGATGAAGACGGCGATGATACTAGCAAGACTGAAAAAGTACATGCGCATCGCATCTGTAAGGGTGTTGTCCATGACGTCGACGTCACGACTGAACCGGTTCGTGATGCGACCGAGCGGCGTCGTGTCGAAGAAGGACATGGGAGCGCGGAGGACCCTGCCCACGGCTTGCCTCAACATTCCCTTGCTTGCTTTGGTACCGAAGACCGAGAGTGACACCATGAAGAGGAACATTATTATCGCTTGGGTGGCACCAAGGCCGGCATAGACGCCAATGTAGGTCCCCATCCCGTAGCTGAATTTGTCGGATGTCCACCAGGATAGCCACAGGCTTGTGACGATGTTGGCTCCTTGCGACAGGATCAAAAGTCCGATGACGAGAGGGGCATTGAGTATGGAACCGGATGCCCTAATGTAGGTAGAGTAGACCGACCACGGAACGCTCGCGACAGCGCGCTCTTCTGTTTGCATCAGACCGCCCTTGCCTTTCTTCTTCTTCTTGGATTCGCCCCCGTCCCCAGGGGTTCGAGTGGGCGCGGCATCCTCCTGCTTCTCCTCGACAGATGTCGACTCCATAAGTTGCTGAAAGCCCTCCGAGTTTTGCATAAGGTTGTCGAACGTGTCGACGGCCCGGACCTTGCCCTCTTCCATCCATATGATACGATCGCAACGATTCAGAACCCAGAGCTGGTGCGTTGCTAGGATCCGGCACTTGTCTTTCAGCAAACCGAGGATGGCGTTGTCAAAGATGTGACGACCAACGTGGGCGTCGACCGCGCTGAGGGGATCGTCCAAGAGCACAATGTCGGCATCAAAGTAGATAGCGCGGGCGATGTTCAGTCTCTGTTTTTGCCCCCCTGAAATGGTGATGCCCCTTTCTCCGATTTCTGTCATATCGTTGTTTGGCAACATGTCCAAGTCCGGTTGGAGAGCACATCTGGGAGACTGTTAGTATTTTTGCGTGGTTAAGTGGGATATGACGGTGTGGCAACTTACGCTTTGATAACGTCGGCGTACCATTTCTTGTCCATTTCTTTCCCAAAGAGGATGTTTTGCTGCACTGTTGCGTTTTGGATCCAGGCATACTGCGGACAGAATGCCCTGGAGGCGCCCAAGACGACCTCGCCATTTGTTTGGCGCATATCGCCAGCCAACGCAGCCAGAAGGGAGGTTTTGCCGCTTCCGACGGTGCCAATGACGGCAACAAGTTCGTTTCGCCCAATCTCCAAACTTATGTTCTGGAGTTTGAACGGCTCCTGCTCCTCTGCAAGGGTGCTATCCTCTTCACTAGAAGCAACGGCGGCGTTCTTGTGTTTTTCTCCCGCTGTTTTTGATGCCGCCGCCGGACCAGCGATAGTCCCCTCAGAATCTTGTGTCGGCGTCCTCTCCCATGTGAAGGAAGCATCATGCATCTCCACAGCGCTTGGGGCATCGGGCTTCAGGATGGATTCGTCCTCGCGCTCTTCGGCCAGCATAAACTCTTGAATACGCGAAACTGACGATAGCGCATCCGTGACCTGGCCGATGACGAGGGGAAGCATATTCAGAGGCATCCTCAGCCCGTTAAAAAGGGCTAGTGAAGAAAATACCTCGGCGGGGTGGAGGTTGTGGTTGGTCAAGGAATAGGTGATGAACGAGAGCATAGAGGCAAATATGGGCAACGAGACGCCGATAGCCATGATAGCATTGCGGATGCCCAGCACGACTTGAATCGCCCCGATCTCGCGGTTCCTGTAGTCGTCGAGGCGGGCCATGAAGGACTTCTCCCAGCCGAAGAATTTGACAAAGCGGACCGACTGTAGAATTTCCTGCGTCAAACTCACCCTCTGGTCCGTGATCTTATTGATGTCTCTTCTCCGGACGAACAAACCCTTGACGGCCTTGGAGAGCAGAGGCATAACAAGCACCAGCAAACCAAAGCCAGCAAGGGCGCTGTAGGTCAAGTTGACAAGGAGCAACGCCAGAGTGATAAGAATTGAGATAGGCGCGGTCCAGATGACATGGAACAGACCAAAAGCTTGATCTATTCTGTAGGTGTCGACACTCATTAAAGCCATCTGTAGAGACGTCAGTTTCTCCACGTGGATGATAGGCACCATACTGGGACTCATTATCGACTTACAATTCTTCCGTTATCCCAACCAGCGCCGTCACCAGACACGCCCGGTTGAATCCCGGCAGGGGCTTTCTTGGAATTCTTTGCCTGGCGCGCCTGATCCTTCTGCCTCTGTTCTTCGGCTACTTTAGCAGCCGGGATGTCGGGGAGCTCCGTGCCTCCGGCTCTGGCTCGTCCGGAGATCACCATGGACTTTTCGTAGATCAAGCTGATCAGAGAACCCCTCACCATGCCGCCCACGAGCATGCCACGATAGATAAAATGGTTCGTAGCCAAGCTCTGCAGAACTTGCATGGCTGTGACGCCGATCACCAATCCCACGCCGTGCCCGATGTTGGGCGCCGGAAGTCCTCGGAGGCTCGCAACGTAGGCATCGGCGGCAAACTGGATTAGGTAACGCAGGACAAAGGGGGACATGACCTGCAAGATGGAGGACATGAGAGCGCAGAAGCCGCCGAACCATAACTCCCAAAAGAAGGTCTCGTTGATAGCCCAAACGAGCGAGTACTTCTCCCCGGCGTCAAGACGGCGCTTGAAGGCGGCCCTTAGCTTTTCGGTTAGCGGGTCAACGGCGCGGTTCGGGTTGACGCTGTAGATGTCGTTGAACTCGAGTGGGCGTTTGTAGCCGCGATTCATCAGCGGGGCGATCCATTGGAAAACCAGCGAACTGAAGAAGCCAGCTTTGTGCTCTGGGCACTCGACCCTCTCTTTGGGAACCGGAGGGATCTTCCCCCATCGCAAGGGGTTTGGTTGTTTGTACCATGGTTTCTGCTCCGGGAGCTTTGTCGCGGAGGTGGTGGCCACGCTCGTAGCTGTAGCCGTGGTCCGCAAGCGATTCAAGTCGCCTCTCCCATCGACATCCTCAGGTTTTTCGTGTACGGTTTCCGTTTTTCGGAGCTGTTCCTGGTCTCGGTCCCCTAACGTCTCCTTCTCCGCAGACGATGACGCCACGGGTGGTTGTGATGGTGGCTCCGTGGATGGCTGAGGGGGGGAGACACTAGCATCCGCCGACTTTTCATGATCAGGGTCCGTCATAACTGGGCGCCCCTGGCTATAGCCTCATGTGAGGCGTAGCTGGAGTATAGTCGGCGTATAAGTCGAGCTGTGGGAATCTATGCGGACATGGAAGCATGCGGATGCAAGTTAGGAGCTTGGCGATGCCCAGTGGAGCAAGAATGGCGTATCAATCATGCAACAGGAAAAAAAAACCGTTAAAACCGTTTGGGTAATGGTGACAACGGCAAAGATGGCGGCGTGATAACAAAAATTCCGAGGGGGCGGGCAGAGAATAAAACCAAAAATGAGTGGAAAGCCGTGATGTCTCTTGACCTAAATGATTAGCAAGCGCCCCAACGGAAATAAAATAATTAATGGCAAAATTAGCTAGCTACTGGCAGCAAACCTGGAAGGAGTCCATCACTCGGAGACATTCAAGGACCCCATTTTCCGCCCCCGTTCCCGTTCCTTCCTCCGCAATTGCCTTCCCTCAGCAATCGGGATGGAGAAGCAGTCGGCCGAGCGCAACCCTCAAAAGCTTAGCGTTGCCTGCATAACCTGCCGTCATCGGTGCACGGCGGCATCAAACGCCGACCCTCTGTTCCAGAAGAGCTCAGGCACTTCCAAAGTTCGAATGGCCGTGCCCTCCCGCCTTTCTTCCCCGACTTGGCTCGAGAAACCATGATCCACACTCACACAAACTGCACACCGGAGATATCGGGGAATCCCCCGAAGCCCTTCCTTGCTCCACCGTCCCTATTACACAAACAGGACTTCTTTGCTTCAATTTTCAGGCTGGACACAGCCCTATTGGCTGGGTATCCATCGCCACAGTTTTCGTGTTTCCTCATTGAGCTTGGCGACCTACGCAAGTGCAACATTTCCCGACATGGCACTCCACTACACTGCCGACGACGCATGTTGAGACCCGAGACTTCGTACCCCTTGGGGCGCTGCTCGGCAAGGCATATCCGTGCATTTCTAATCGACCGCCGGTTGATTGGACTGCCTTGCAGGGCTCCCGGACCATCGTGTTGGTCTGGACTGCCGGGGACTTTTGAACCATTGTTTCACGGCAACCTTCCACAATCAGATACCAGTTCGGTTTCGGGTAGCTCCCCAGTGAACTAAGTGCGATGACAAAACACAGCGGTTTTTCTTTTTCTACAACCCAACGCCCCATCTAGAATATCGACCAGAGTAAAAATTGAATACCCCAATCGTACTTCGTATCGCCAGCTAAAGCAAAAAGAAAAATGAACAATAATGCAAAGGGAGAGGTAGTATCAAGGCTGACGCCGGGCCGGTGCTCGCAGCCCGAGGGAGGGCACCATTCGGGTTCAAAACGGCACCTTTCCATTCCATTCTTCGCACTGATCGTTTGACTCACCCATCTTACATCTTACATACGAGCAACCTACAGCTCAACCAACCGCTCGAGGATAAGGATCCGAACAGGCTGCTAGTGAAAGTATTCCCTAAATCCATCCTCTGCCGGTTATCTCCGTGCTGCTTGGCTCTTACTTCGCTCTCGGCCGATGCGGCGCATGGGGTGCAAGACGGGATTCGTCCGGCGACTCAACCGGGGTTGGAGACAACTTGTTCTTTCTGGCTGCGTAATTCATCCGAAATCCGACGAGGTTTGGTGGTTACCAAGCATAAAATATCACAAGGTCTTACGTCAAAAACAAACGAACTCAACATTTTCTTACAAAGCAGGGAGTGCAGGGGCAAAAAGCTCCGAGACTTCCCTTGCCTAACGCAACCCGCTGATACCTAAACTAAGCTCAAGTTTGGCATTGCCTAGAATACCGTCTACCTAGATAATGGCTCGAGGAAAATAACGAGAGAAAGTGAAGCAAGGACCGCTTGGCTCTTGCATGACGAGATACTGGAGGCGATGGGAACGGAAGACGTCAAGACAGACCCACACAACCCAACTCACCCAACCCACTGGTGGCATCTCTCCCCCACACCCGACGAGAACCAGGTGAGGTACAGATTACAAACGCAAGAGCCGCAAGAGCCCCAACCCAACCCCGCGGAACGGGCCGGCCAAGAGATGACATCCCGCCGCACGCAAGAACCAGGGTTCAACACGCCATGCCACAGCATTATGCGTGTCGCGTTGGGGTGATATGTCTCAGCCTCATGCGGAACCCCTTCCGCTTACACGGAGCCCGAGGACATCAAACAGCGTCCGCCAAGACCATTTGAGACAACGCGAGCAAGATCATCGCCGAGATTGTACGGATTAAATGAAATTCGACAGCGCCACCGAACGCAGAATGGGCCGCAAGAACGGTTGTTCAAACCAGCCCTATGAAATCAAGGTTAGCTCTTCTGTCTCATGTGGCAGGGAACCTTACCTCTGTCCCGGCCAGATTCGTGGGCTCCTCGAGCTGGTAACTGCAGTTCAGCACACCATAGGGCTAGGGGGTTAATGGTGAGGTTTCGGGCCGCTGTTCACGGAATCGACTGGGCGGGAAGACGGAGGCGGGCAGCGGGTTGCAAGGTTCACGCACGGCAGGACGAGATCGACGGCTGCAAAGACGAAGAATCAATGGGCGGGGAGCGAGAGTCGCGGTTTACAGGGTCGCAGGCGCTGCACGGCCATCCAGAACAGGCCGATAGTTGCCAGCTAACCCAGGAAGACGCTGCCACGAAATCGACGGGCATTAAAGGCTGTGTTGGTTGTCACGATCAAAGCTGCTGTAGGTTGATGGTGTTTTCGTATCATGCCGGCTACGGAAGTGAACCCCCCCGCGATAGGATTTGCTGCTGTTGCAGATTCGTCACGGTATCTGATGTGCCGCTGTGGCGTGAAAGGCGCAAAGAGGAAAAAATAATCGTACAGAGGCGGCTCCCATCCGACCCGTTTTCTAATCCAAACCGAGGGACGCGAAGAGGATTAGATGGGGGCCTTAGACAATGTCGGCTAGTGCTGCAGACCGAACTAGATCCCATCGCCATCATGTCGAATGTCGCACCACCAATGGCTAAGATCTAGGGGACCAGTTTGATGAAAGGCGATGTGCCGAAACAGGGCCAATAACCCTCCCATGCCTGCCGTGAACTCCAATCGATCGAATTTTGGGTTATCCGAATTATGTGCCCGTGCCAAAAGCGAAAACGAGATAAGAAAAAAACAGAGAGAAATCCGTGCTGTGACTTAGTTAGATGGCAAGCAAGCCTACGCAGCGAGTCTTGATGTCGGGGGCAAAATTTAACGGCCGCCTGCTGGTACAGTTAGTATTGCCAAGGTAGTGGACAAGGGGTTGGCAAGCGAGGTTACCATAGGGCTCACGGGTATCGCCACGGGGAGCGGGGTCGGCGTAAGCACCGGCAGCGCTGGGGGCGGGATCACGAGGGCGGGAGTCGCGGTCGCTGGGGCGATCATAGCCACGCTCGCGATCATAGCTGGGTCCGCGGCGGTCATCAGGAGCACCACCACGGCCACCTCCGTAACGCTCGCGGTCCTCGCGACCACCGCCACCATAGCGATCAATGCGGCCGCCATAAGCGTCATCACCGCCGCGGTCACGGCGGTCGTAGCCACCACCACGCTCCTCACGGTACTCACGGCTGTAGCCACGGTCATCACGGTAGTCGCGTCCACCGCCGCCACCACCATAGCCACGATCGTAACCGCGATCGTAGCCACGGTCGTAGCCACGGTCATCACGGCCGTAGCCACGTTGACCACGGTACGAGTCATCACGACCATAGCCGCCACCATAACCGCCGCCGCCGCCGTAACCACCACGACGACGGTCATCAAAGCGGCCACCACCACCACGGGGATCTATGATAATTAGAAACGGCACAACGGCGAAAAGATTGGGAGTAATAACGTACCACGCTTAGGAGGACCAAAGTACTTGCCCGGGGTAGGAGTGCGGGGACGGACACGGCGTGCCTTCTCGATGTTAAGGGTGCGGCCTTCGATGACCTCGCCGCGCAAGCCCTCTATGGCAGCATCGGCCATTTCGGAAGTGACCATCTTAACGAAACCGAAGCCACGCGACTCGCCAGAGTGCGGGTCCTTCATGATTTGGCACTTCTCGACCTCACCGTACTTCTCAAAAAGACGAGTAATCTCCGACTCCTCCAGGCGAGGGTGGATGCCCGTCACGAAAAGGTTTGAGCCAGGGTTGTGGGCGCCATCGTCCTCCTTGTTACCGCTGTCGCTCTTAATGGGAGCACTGTTGTGTGGTGTGTTAGCGGGCGATTCTGCCGAGGTTGCATCTACGGATTGATTGGTGCGACATACCGGTCGTTGCCGTTCGGGGACATGGAGCGGCGACGCGAGTCATGGCCATCATCGCGACGAGGCGATGCACTGCGGTCGCGGTCGTAGCGAGGACCGTCGTCTGAGGACAAGAGTCAGCAATTGTTATAGCGATTGAACGTGATGGCAAACGGCGAGATGCACCGCCCGTCACGTTGATGACGAAAAATAGAGGTTGCTCTTACCATCGTAGCGCTCACCGGTCGCTTCATAATCCATCGATGTGGTCGCCATTGTGATGGGTTGCAGGTGTTACGAAGTTGATAAATGGAAGTGGAAAGAAGAAGAAGGCTGAGGGGAACCGCTCTCAACTTTGGGAAGTGGAGCGAGATTAGCAGAAGGCTACGGAAAGGGGAAAAAAAATTATCAGATCGCGAAGATCGAGGCTGGGTGGAATTGAAGTACTGTAAAGTTTCCCGTTCCTCGCAATTGGAGGTGAAAGGGAAATGGGACGGGGTATGTGTCAATGGTGACAAAGAAATCAAGCTGGGAAGGGCAGGGCGGAGTGTGTGCCGAGTCGACGCAGGGCGGAAGAGTAAGGAAGAGAGGCGAAATTTTTGGAGGCGACGATGCGTGCAACCACGTTCCTCCAGTCGCGCTCTCCCCTTCCGGATTATTGCATAACAGATCTTCCCATTGTAAGGCTAGCCGAAAATAGCTAGGCTGCACTAATGAACTTGGCAGCTGTTTAGGGTGCAGGGATGGAGGTGAAGCTCATTGCGATCCACAATTCTCCGCCACAAACAACCACCTTGAACCCCGAATCTTCAATATGGAAAATAACAAAAAGAGTCAGCTTCAGTGGGATTATTCATTCGGTTATGTGTTGCAAAACAATTCTAGGGCTTGAGTCATTACCTGCACCATTAGAAATGGCAAGATTGAGAAGCGTTCTCATCCATTGGACAACCCAAACTCGATCAGCGATTGGTCGCCCTGGTTGTGGCGAGGCTGCAACGCCGAAAAAGATGGTGGATGCGATCATTGTCAAACCCCGATTCGCTAACAATGCGGTGGTAAACGCCAATGGCACTTGGAGACCTGTTATACCAGATACTGTGCAACATCTACTCGGTAAATCTTGCACCCGATAAGACATAGCTAGAACCACGCATCACCGCACCAAAACACGACGCACGACATCGGGGCTCTCGTAGGCTTCAGCCGCGCTTCTAGAGATCGTCCCACTTGTTGTCCGACGCCGCTCCAACATGCCGTTCCACCTGCAGCACCCTTTCCACATCAATTGCGGCGGGCGGTTTCTCGTCCAGGAACCGCAACGCCTCAACGGCCTTGCCTCCACACGCCCTCTCCAGCGCCAAAGATGCAAAATGCCCGCCGACGACCGGCCGCGCCATGAACCTGATGTTATTGGGGAAATTGCCATCGCCCTCGGTCTCGTACAGGTCCGTAAACGGGCGATCTGCGTCATGTTAGCTTCCGTGGCCTCTCAATGGCCCTAGGGTGCTCGTAAGCCAACAATTGGACGTGGAAACAAAACCTACCAACAACAGTCTCATTCACCCACCGCGCCACGGCCGTCAAGATCTCCGTCCTCGCCTTCCTGCCCGTAACAGCCGCGGCAAAGAACTCCCAATCACTCTTGGTATACAAGTGTCTCGAGTCCAAGGGCAAGCCATACTTCTGCAGCACGGCATAGTACCAATCGCTCTGCATCTGATAGACCTCGTCCGGGACAAACACGTCGCTTTCGCCGCCGCCGCCGCCCCCTCCGATCGGCTTCTGGCCGCCCCTTGGAAGGCCGCTGCGCAGCGCGGACTCGCCATCGCCCTCGTCCCCCCTGACGTGGAAGCACAGCAGCGAGTCGGCGTACAGGTTGTAGATGGTCGTCCACGAGCCATACCACGTATACGCCAACTTGGCGTGCGTCCCGTCGCGCGAGATGCCGTACTCCTGCCACTTGTCGATATACTCGGCGGCGATCTCGCGGTACCGCTTCGCGTCGTCGTCCCTGCCGACCAGGTCTGCGATCTCGCTCATGGCCTTGATGCCGACGATGCCCTTGAGGGCGAGGTTGGTCTGGTTGGCCAGCCAGCCGGCGAAGTCGTCGGTGCACAGCTGGTTGTGCGGGATCAGCGACTCGCGCACCAGGTAGCCCGTCCACTGGTCCCAGAGCTTGTATGAGCGGGACAGCCACTTCTCGGCCGCCTTGCGGCCTGTCCTGCTGCTGCTGCTGCTGCCCGTTTCGGGGTCGGTGGGCCTGGGGAGGTCGATGCCGTACTCGTCCACGTGGGCTCGCCAGTCACCGGAAAGGTTGGGGATGGCTTCCGCGCGGTCGCCCGCGGGCGCGTTGACAAAGGCCGGGTCGGTGTCGTAGCGCAGGGCGTTGGCGAGCGCGAGGCCCATGATGAGCATGTTGCCGCACTCTTCGACCGGCATATACTCGTCGTTCCCGTCCGAGTGGCCCGTCGCGTTGGGGAAGTGCGACCCCAAGTCGTGCATGCTGTAGTCGTTCGGGTACTGGCCGCTAAGCTGGTGCTCGAGGAGGGGCTCGAGCAGGTACGCCAGCCATTGTGGGTTGGTGTATAGGAAGAAGGGGAAGGCCGGGAAGATGACGTCGACGGTTTGGAAGTTCCCGTTGGAGGAAATTTCCTTCAGGAAGAGAATCGTGTTCTCCGGTGTTCCGGAGAACTGCGTGGCGCCCAAGACCTGGCGGGCCGAGAGCGCGGCAATGTCTTGGTAGTCCTGCGAGCCGGAGCGGTAGGCGTCGTGCGCGAGCGAGTCCGAGTAGTTTTGTGCCAGCGATGCCGCGGTCTGAAAATCGTCGTAGTGGTACGAGATCAGCTCGTCTGCATCGGGGATATGGGACTGCCAGAGCGGTTTCATGTGCGCAATTCCCTTCGCCCTGGCAAACTGGACCACCGGGTCTTGCACCAGCGCAAAGGTGAACGTAACGCTTTCCGTCTTGGTGTGGCAGCTTGCTTTATGCTTCCCAGCAAGCTTGAAGGCTTTAGCGAAGGCAAACGCCGGCTCCTCATCCATCACCCTGCGGAATTTCCTGTCCACCTCGTTCTTCAAAACCCCCTTCTCGGCGAAGTGCTGGCGCAGAAGTGCAGACGTCCCAGCCTGGTGGTATGTATCGGCCGGGCCCGTGAAGTGCAGCGTCCCCCATTCGGCTCGGTCCCCATACTCGGTAAAGAGCTCCTCGTGAACCCGGGAAACCTTCCACGTCTTGAGAGCCGTACTAGAGCCGCTGTGCTTGGAGCGCCCATGCTTGTGCAGCTTCCACTTCACTTCATTGCCCCTGTTCCCCGTAACCCACTCTCCGTTGGCGTCCGTGTAGATATTCACATCGAGGCAACCCTCCGCAATAACAGTCAGGTATGCAGCAGGGATCGACTGCCTGAATGTAGACGACGGCGTGATCGGCGACAAGAAAGATAGTGTCAGGCGCGTGGCCTCCGTCGGCGATTTCCCCGAGACCTGGTACGTCAGGTTCGTAGTCGAGGCGTCGAACGTGGCGCCTAGGTACTCGGGATATGCTACCTCGTACTTGCGGTGGAGGTCGTGCCGCAGGGAGTCGTGGGGGCGTCCTAGGAGGGGATAGACCTTGCCCATCTCAGGGACGGAGGCCATGACTGAGAATCCGACCTGTTCTCTCGGATTAGTATGGGCGGGGAGCGGAGCGTTCCATGTAACGGGTTTCCTCACATGAGCGCCGGTGTAAAACATGGGCCAGTTCTCCCAGGGTGCGTCGCGAGCGTTGGACAGCCAGGTGCTCAGGTATGGATTGCGGACGATCAGGGGTAACACGTTAGGGGCGAGTGTTGATGCACTGGCCGTAGCGGCCAGCACTAAGAAGTCGAATCGCATCTTGGATTCGGGACGAAAGGGAGGGAAAAGTGCGGGGACTGCTCGAGCACGACGGCAAGTTAAGTGATCAACAGATCCTCATTGCTTTACCCCAAAAGCCTACCGTAGAAGCCCAGCTAGGCGTGTTGGTAAGCAAAGGCCAATATTGGGCTAAAACCAAAAACTTCCAACCTCCCTTGGATGTGAACCATTAGCAAGAAAGAAGGGATAGTGATGGATGTGATATTCGGTATCGAGGCTATACTCGAAATGTATGTACTACAAAGCACAAAGGAAGTGGAGAGAATCCGTTCGTTAACCAAAAGCCCGAAACAGCTTGGAGGAACCGGAGCCCACGGACTCAGGGGCAACACCATGCAACGGGGATGGAAGGACAAGAGCTGGGTCTGCGGCACAAAAGATGACGCTGTCTTGGGGATCGTTTGTTCCTGCTCCTGTTACAGAGGCAGGGATCTCCCTCTGTTCATCCAATCGTTTGCGGTTAGGGGATCCATTTACAGGGCTGCTGGCGCGCAACCCCGCATCTTGGAGAAGCGGGTGGTGGGGTGCATCGGCCGCTGTGGAGATGGTTCGCATTGAACGCCGAGATTTCGAAGGCGGCCGAGACCCAGCACGGGAAGCCCCAGTGCGCATATGGGCAAGCGCCGCGCCGCTGAGAACGCAACAAACATAATTGTCAAGCGGCAATGGTCAAGGGGACGGCCGAGCTTCCAGGGTCTCGCTGAAACCTGCAGAGTGTATTATTTATATTTATTTTATTCCGACAAGATATTCGTTATCAGAGCCATACCTACATACAGCCGCCCCATCTATGAGAAAAGCAACTGGGCAAGGCACTTAACTCCTCGGTTCCTGTGTCCACTACAAACCACCCGGCAACCGCCTATGATGACCGAAGTGGCCAAACCGAGAGCTTTATCTATACCGTGTTTCAAACATCTGGGGATTCCATGACTCCTCTCGTACCCCGAATCATCCCCCATTATCCCCGCCGGCGACTTAGAATCTATATGACGCGACATGAATGCCGTCGGTGGTGACAACGTACTGCAAAGGAATAGCTATACTGTAGCAAAAATGGCACAAAGGAGGGGCAAAACGCCCAATGCGTAGGCTCGCCAGCGCTCATCGAGGCTGACATGTGATTAGTTGCCGCGGAACAAGAATTGGAGATCCTGGGGGCTGAGTGAGTCCATGGCTGCATCATCCGCATTGATCGTGGAGTTGATCATGTTAGTCTTCTTCTCCTGGAGCAGAACCATGCGGCTCTCGACCGAATCCTCGATGCAGAGTCTGGTGATGGTGCAGGGACGGGTTTGGCCGATGCGGTGGCACCGATCGGCGGATTGCCATTCACTGTTTTGCATTTTTCAGTTAGAATTACAATGATAAACACACACCGCAGAAAAGGAGACGTACGCTGCAGGGTTCCACCAAGGGTCCACGATGAAGACCCGAGACGCCTCGGTGAGATTCAGCGCCACGCCGCCAGCCTTCAAAGAGACTAGGAAGACCTCAACATTGACGTTGGTCATGAAGTGTTGGATCGAAGCCTGCCGCTGGGCTGGAGTCATGCTGCCATCGAGCATGACGGTAGTGATGCCGGCACGGTGCAGGCGCCACTCGATGAGCTGTAGCATCGTTGTGAATTGGGAGAAGATGATGGACTTGTGTGACGCATTGTCGGAGCGGAGCTTGTGCAACTCGTGGACCAACAGCTCGATCTTGGACGACGACGTCCAATTTTCCATCTTGATTCGGTTGATAATGGACGACTTCTTGACCTGGGCCTCGTCCTGCTCCATCTCGGGCTGCTCGAGGTCTATGGAGAGCGGGATGTGGCACTGCGGGCAATTCGGGCTGGTCGTCGAGTTCACATAACTCTTAACACATGTCCGGCAGAAGTCGTGCTTGCACTGGGACCGAATGGCATCCTCAGCGGGCTCGTCGCAGATGTTACATACGAGAACATTCTGGCCGCCCTCGCTGTCTTTCTTGAGGATTAGATCCGGATGGTCGGCAACCTGGCGCATCTGCATAATAAGACCGAAAATGTTGGCATAGTTGTTGAGGAGGACGCCACTGGCGACGTAGGTATCGAATTTGCGCTGACCGCTTGTCATGATGCTGTTGGCAAAATCGTTCTCCTCTTCGCCAAAGAACTGCCGTTCGACGTTGATCTCCTTGACGGGAAGCTCCATCGAGTCGGTGTGGTCGATCTTCAGCCGACGCAACATGATGCGGTCGGTTAAGATGCGCAGCTTCCTGAAGGCCTCGGCGCCACCAGCACGGTTACCGAACTTTTGAATGGGGTTTAGAAGCTCCTGGTTGAAGACTGATACATGCTGCATGCCGCCGTGCCCACAGGCCGTGCATTTCCTGTCATCATCCATCTGCCATTCGAGGGTGGAACAGGGGCAGCTCTTGCAGAGATAGCAAGCGAAAGGGCGGACGTTGAGGAAGCGAATCAGCGAGAAGAACTCGCCAATGCGGTTCTGCAGTGGAGTGCCGGAGAGACACCAGCGGTATGTGACTTTGAGAGCAAAGCATGCTTTGGCTGTCATTGTCGTCCGCGTTTTGATGCAGTGGGCCTCGTCGAGGATCACACGGTGGAAGTCGGTCTGGTGAATGATCGACTTCTCCTTGAACATGCCAGCCTTGCGCTTAAAGCCCTTCTCCTGCTTTCGGTACATTGATTCCAGGCTGTTGTACGACATGATGACAACGTCGTACTTCTTGACGTCCTTGACCGTGAGGTTCTTTGACTTGGCATTGGTCCCGTGGAAGACGAGAGTTTTGAGTGTCCCGTCCGTGTAGGACTCAATTTCCGTCATCCACTGCATCAAGGCAACCGGGGGCACCAGCACCAGAGAAGGCTTCTTGGCAGGGAAGTCAGACATGATGAGGGAGACGGCTTGGATGGTTTTGCCGAGACCCATCTCGTCCCCGAGCAGCCCACCCTTCCACTCGGTCTTTTCCATTGCCATCATCCAAGCCAAACCTTCTAGCTGAAACGGTTTAAGCTGGCGAGAGATGGACTCGGGCTGTTTCGCCTTGCCCGCTTTCAAGATGGGCATATCCTCAAGTTCCTTCCACATTGTCTTAAGTTCCGGGTGATTCGACTCGAGACGAGAACGGTTGTTCTTGACCCGGCGTCTACTGACATAGGCTCGATAGGCGCGGCGACTGCGCATGGCCATGTCGAGAGCCGAGAGGGGTGGACTGTGGCCAGCGTTCGCGCTCTCGTCCTCGGCCCCCGCACCATTCAGGTCTTGACCGCCATCGCCAGCATCGTCGTCATCATCCTCAGTCTCGTACTCCACGTCCGAAAGGTCACTGTCACTCCACCAAGCCAGAGCCTCTGCGCTGTAATCGGGGGTGTCGCTATCAGTAGCTGCTGACAGGGAAGCGAGCTCGTCGCCCTCGGGTGCTGGTCGTGTTCCTGCTTTTCCCCTTTTATTGGCCGGCTGTCGCGCTTTGTGTTTTATGGAGGCAAGTGGACCGGTGACTCGGGGTTTGCTCAAGGATTCAACGTAATCGTCGCTATCGCTCGAGTCCGAGAGTTCCGTCAACTCACTATCATCACCCCCCGAATCGGGAACGGTGACGGCCCGCCTCTTGCTCGCGGCCCTACCAGAGCCCGTGCCATTAACACGCTGCGGTGCCAAAGAAGTAGGCCTGATGCCATTGTGCGCCGGATCCATGGATACTGCGGCACGTGTAGCAGCCGGGGCTGCCACTCCTCGCCGGCTCCGGCGCGGCGCAGGGCCAGGCGTAGGACCAAGCCTAACCTCGGGAGACGGCTTGAACACTGTCGCTGCCGTCGCATCTTCTTCTGCCTGCAGCTTTCGTGCAAGGATGGCATCTGGAGAGCTGTCTGAAAACTCCTCCTCGCTGTCCTCGGCCGTATCTCGCTTCCGCTTACTGCCCATGGAGAAGATGCTCTGACGGAGGCTCGCAAAGCTAGACGGCCTCGTTGCGGATAAATGCACCTCGATTCTATTATTGACTCGTTTGCCCGAGACCGGTTGCACGGCCTCCTTTAGGGTTGCCATTTCGGAAGTGCTGGTGAGAGGGGTGGTATACCCGCTTCCGAACGAAGGCGTGGCCGAGGTGGAGATCGTGAATGAGTCGGATGCCACACTCGATGCGCTGCGTCGTTCCTCGGGCCTCTTTTCCGAGCTTATCGTATTAAGCTGTGGAGGCGCAACTGATTATTGAGTTAGAAATAGAGGCATGGCGATATTTGATCTCCATATCCGGAAAATACAAGTGCATTACTTGCGATCTCCCGATAATCTTTCGGTACCACCGAACGATCTAGAAAATACCAATTGACAAGCACAACAGAGGAAAATCGAAGACAACGCCAAATGATGGACTGTAGACACTTACCGGCGATCGCGTCGGCCGCCGCCGATCTTCTTGTTCGGACCATGATGTTTTACTCTCAGGCGTGAAAGACGACTAATTTGTAGATGTGGGAAATATAAGAGGCAAAGGGAGAAATTCGCCGTTGATGTTTGTATGTTTGGGCGGTGATGCTTCAATTTCCTAACAAAGAGAGGAATGGTGGCCAGTCCACCACATCGATCGAGTGCAACGATTGATCAAGCGCAGCCCCATCAGGTGGCAACAGCCCGAGCCCAAATCTGTGCACTTCGGACGTGAAAGAGCTGGAGGTGGGCAACCTCTTTTGTGACGGATATCGTGAATGGAGAGTTCCCATCAAAGGGCCACAACTACGACAAAAACAAAATCTGCGGCAAGGTCGAAATTGAATCGCCACCTCCTTTCGAGGATTGCCAGCGAGGCAGGGCCGTGGACCTCGGGGAAGGGAGGGGGATCTCGCGTTTTCTCCAACGCGAAGGCACATGACTTGCGGGCTAATTTATTTGCTAGCTTACTCGGGCCCCAGGCAGCAGCAGGCAAAGACCGGAGCTGGTTGGCTGAGAACGAGATGGCTGCAGGGTTTGCTTGCTGGTATTGAGACTGTTTTTCTTCTCTAAGACGAACCTTGCGCTCCCTTGCTTCGTGGCCCTTGATTTTGATTGTGATAGTGGGCTATTTTTGCGCCAGCTGATCATCTTCCGCTGCCTTTGTCCGTTCTCTGCACCCCTCGAATTAAATCTCGACATTTCGGCAAGTCTTAGTGACCCGGGTGTAAACCACAGCATTGTTATCGACATTGTTGTCCCTGCTCCTTTCTCGAGGTTCAAGTCCAACTGCATTAGTACGAGATTTGTATCCTAATACGGTTAGCGCCTAGTTGAAATATCTCTATCAACTTCCAGGTCCCTTCCCCTTTTCCCCTTCGCGGACAACGGTCAGGTGTTCTGGCGTTGCGATTTTAATTGAATTTGCCCCTCCTCGCGTCAAAGCGTGTTTCAACTCGCATGCAACACTTTCGACCGAACGATTTCACAGTTGCGCAACCTCGCATCCCCAACTTCCTTTCCCAGCACCCTTCGGCATCGTAACTAGCCGATTTGGAACCGCCAAAGATGTGAGATCTTCTGCTCCGAGGTTGTAATTGCAACAAAAAAACATATTCACTAATACATCATCATCCAGGTCTCGGCAAGCTCGGCAGCAGCGCCAGATTGTAGGCCCGTTAGTGACAGACTAATGTTGAAAATCCTGAGGCTTGAGCTCACTGACCGTCATCCCCTTACAGGCAATCGGCTTTGACTGACTTCTTGGCGGTGGGTTTCTCCCATAGTGGACTTCTGCATTTTGGAATACTGACAGGCATTCGACCAGTCACATAACATCTCTGCTTATCAAATTCGCCTAGATGCCGATGCTCGACGGAGAGCGGCTCGGGATGAACAGGGTGAGCCGGCTAACGGGGATAACCAAAGCAATGATCAGACCTCGGTAGCTTCCCCGGCCGCCACTCCAGCCGTCACTGCCAGCCCCGCGCCCACCACGCGGAGTAGACGTGCAGCGGCGGCGCCCTCGCGAGAGGAGGAGGCACGGAAAAAGGAGCAAAAGGCCATTGAGAAGATTAAGGCAAGCAAGAAGTTTCAAAAGCGCAAGCGCGGGGTTGAGTCGGAAGACGAGGATGAGCTTGCGCGGGCCCTCCTGCAAAGCACTGCGCCGCTTCCAGGCCAGCAGGAGAACTGCGAGAGTTGTGGCAAGCGGTTCACCGTCACTGCGTATAGTCGAAACGGGCCCAACGGGGGTTTGCTCTGCAGCCCGTGCAGCAAGGAGCTTGACAAGGACAATGCAGCGCAGAAGAAGAAACCGAAACGAGCCACGGGCGGGGCGGTTGGCCGACGCCGGCAGCTGCAGAGCAATATTCTGGATGGGACATACTCGCTCGGTGCCAAGAGCTTAATGACCCTCTGCATCGAGACACTGGCGAAGAACATCGATCTTGCCGAAGACCTGGGTGACCTACCCTCGCCTATCATTGACAAGATCGCCCGGAAGCTTTCCAAGCACCGCCTCCTCGACTCAAGGACCTTGAGTCTCTTCTTGCAACCCACGACTGAAGAGGTCTGCATCTATGACGGCGCAAAGCTCAGTTCCGACGATTTCATCCGCATATTCCAGACCGTTCCGGGCCTCAAGAAGCTCAAGGTAAGTAGCAGCACAGGCCGTTATTTTCTATATCATCATTCTGGGGACGGTGGCTTTCGGGATGGGGTCATACCTCGCGAAACTCTGTCGCAGCTTTGTACCGGCAGCGCAAGTTAACGCCATGGCAGGTCCGCAATGGGATTCACTTCAAGGGCCAAGTCCTAGACTTTCTCATGACGCGCAACATCGAGCTGGAAGACCTCTATCTCCACGGTGCGAATCTTCTCTCTAAGGACAAGTGGAAGGAGTATCTTGAGAAGAAGGGCCACGCTCTCCGCGCGCTACGCGTCTACTTCACCGACCTACACTTCGGCGACGAGATTCTCGCGCTGCTGCCCACCACCTGCCCCTCGCTCACCCGACTCAAGGTCTCCCACAACCAAGAAGTCACGGGGACGGGCGTCGCCGCCATCGGGCAGATCAGCACGCTCCGGCACCTCAGCCTCGACCTGCGCAACGAAATCCACTCAGACATCTACGTCGACCTCCTCAGCAAGATCGGCGCGGGGCTAGAAACCCTCTGCCTCACGCGTGTGCCCCAGGCCGACAACACGGTGCTGGACGCCATCCACACGCACTGCCGATCCCTCACCAAGCTGCGCATCACCGAGAGCGAGGAGATGACCGACGCGGGCTTCGTGCGCCTCTTCCGCGACTGGGCCAACCCGGGCCTGACCATCGTCGACTTCCAAAAGTGCCGCCAGCTCGACTCGGCCCGCCCCCGCGACAACCCGGACGGCCTCGGCCTGTGCTCCGACGGCTTCCGCGCCCTCGTCGCCCACTCGGGCAAGACCCTGCGCGAGCTCAATGTCCATGGCTGCAGGCACATTGCGGTGGGCGCGTTCGAGGACGTGTTTCGCAGTGAGGTGGGCGGGAGGCAGTACGAGGCGATGCAGAAGCTGGAGATCAGCTTCTGCGAGGAGGTGACCGACTTTGTGGTCGGCTGTGTGTTCCGCTGCTGCCCGAGTCTGAGGGAGTTGAATGTGTTTGGGTGCATGAAGGTGAGGGATGTGAGGGTGCCGCGGGGGAAGATCTTGGTGGGTGTGCCGAATGCGAAGGGGATGGTTATTGAAGGGGATGATGATGAGGATGGTGAGTAACAAGTGTATGTTGGGGGAGTGCGGTGGTTAGACTTGGTGTGGTATTTTCGACGATGCTTTGCTTACAGTTTGCCTTTGGGCTGCGTTTGGAGGCGATGGCCGACACATCAACGTGGAAAAGGGCGTCCTGCACGGGGGGCTGTGAGGTTGATGCCGTGGTAGTCATGCTACCTGTCTATGGCCCATGTTCGAATATAATTCTTGCTATCAAGAAGGGGCAAGCACCCAGCTTACACAATGGTACCTCCGCCTTCGAGTTGCCGGCATCGGACAGGGCGATACTGAGTCATCCTCGGGTTATCGTAGAGCTCATTGCAGTCATCTCTACCTTGTGATACTCACAATGCCAAGACAGGTGATACCGAGGTCCATGGAACGAAGGTCTCCTGAAGAACATCGGCGCCAATGTGAGAAAGAATACCGAGGAGTATCATCCTTCTGACGACCCCGCAAGTGACTTTCTCCCAAGAGTGCCCTTCTCGGGAGAAAATGTATATGACGCTATGGCAATTTATACGTTTCTTAAATCTGGGGGTTTTTCAAAATGCAGTTCCGCGGAGTTTAACAACAGCAGCCAGGTCATTCGTCATCTTAGACAAGGCTTGCCCTGGACGGCTTGGCTCCGGGGTCCTGACACATTCACAAGCCTCTGCGTGGGTTTGGACCTTGGAAATCCGGGGGTGGCTTGACGATGGACGGGGGAGCGGTGAAGTTCGAGAACCTCGCGGCTGAAGGTGGAGCGTGCCGGGTATGGAATCTCCCATGGCGGTTCCTTGGCCTTTTCGGGGACGGTGGAGACCGGGGAACCTCAAGGCGCATCTCAGCGTGCGGGGACAAATGGATCCTGGGGAGTAAGCGTCATGATGGTGTTGTCGTTTTTGGGTTGAACCGCGATCGGGACTGCATCTCACGCAAGCCCGTGATCATGTGCTCCCGATATTCTCCGCGACGTCCGATGGTCGGAACGAGGCAAGCAATGGCGGCAGCAGGGAAATTCCCTTCGGACCATTGCCGACGACCGACTGCCGGGCCGCCGCCGCCGTGTGTGTGGGGAATGATGCCATATTGAATGAAGCATGTGCAAGAATGCCCGATAGCCGCATCGGCTTTTGTCAGGTCGAGCTTCACAATCAGCTGAACCCAATCCCGAGAGAAGCGTCTTGAGGGGCGTGGAGCTGCAACCAAGATCAATTGGCCCATCCCGATATGAGGTCAACGGACCGAGAAGCTCCTTGACACCGAGGGCCGTAGACGGGAGAGGATCAAACAGAACGGGCGAGACCACAACTCTCTATCATGCCGGCCCGAGCATTGTCCTGCGATGGTGGGTCGCGAGAGCTCCTCGATATGACATCGGTTAGTTAACGAGAGCACTGGCCAGATTCCTTCTTCCCATCAACATGCAAAGGAACGGTCGCGGAGCGGTGGGGGCATGAGTCAGGGAGAATTCCAGACGGTTTGCAGCAGGAGAACAAGCTTGGCAATTCCCAGACTTCACAACAAACGGCCTTCGCCGAGATGGCATCGTGAAGTTCGGACGGCGGCTCGGCCAATTGCTGGGTAGCAAGCGACGCTCGACCGGCTTGGTTTGTTTGAGCATGGTGGAGGCCGCCCGAGAAGACAAGGGCACATCAGACGCGGATGTGACCTGTTTCATCCCATGCCTTGTTCTTCTCGAAGGTTTTCCTTCCCGAAGCAAGCGCGCCCGGGGTTCTTCCGAAGGGGAATTTCGTTTCTGGACGTTGCCATGCAAAAGCGTCGAATCCCAGTGTTACAGTCGGGAGAAGTCGGGGGGGATAATCGTTAGCAGATCCATGCACCTCGTGCCTTCCCCGGCCATGCCCCTGAAAACCCGCTTTTCGATGGCGACCCACCGATGCCCAACGCTCCACTGTGGGCTAGGTGGGCCTGATGTGCTGTGGGCCCAGACCGGCAGGGAGAAAGATCGCGCATTTCGAACTGAACCTCGAAGTACTTCGGTACCTGCAGCTCCCGCCCGCCTGCATGCTTGCTTACACGGGAACCGATATTTGATTCCTCTCGCCTGTCGGGAGACTTTCGAGTGTGTAGCATTGGGCTCGTTCCGTCACGGCCGGTTTTCGTCGAGATAGAGAATATTCCGGGGCAGGGCCGCTGACAAACTGTTGCAAACGCCCGTGCCGTCTCCCGAGACAGGCAGATGCGAAGTCCGTCAACAATTCGGATTGCGTGTTGCCCAGCCTTCTACGATCACTTATTATTAGGTAACAAACAATGGCGGTAAAGCCCCTGGCAACAGGGCGCGTGCCTCTTTGCTTCTTGTCGCAGGCAAGGGAGACACGCTGGTTCCAGACAGACAGGGCCGACAACCGATCCCGAAAGGCCTACCGATGGATCGGGACGGGTGTTCTTAGCCCAAACAGGCAGTCTGCTGTCCTTTGCTTGGTATGTGATTGGGCCGATGGTGGCTGACAGGGAGCCCAGCCCGTGCTTCCTGGACACAACAAGGTGGCCCACCGACTTTTCCCCACGGCAGCCCCGAACGGAGGCCCCGTGACCATTGCTTCCAAAAACATTGAGAAGAGTAATAAACCACAAAAACAAAACCCATGGTTGATGGGGGTGTCCACGACTTCCGTTGGGCGCAATTGGTATGCAAAGTATTGCTGACCGCAGGAGAGGCCCTACTCTCTACGTATGATATGATAACTGCCAGCTGAGAACTGAGGTTAGTGTTGGCGTTCACCGGGACGAATAACTACATTCGTTACCAACGGACACCATGGCGCCAATGGTTGGCAGCTTGCAGGGGGCGGAAGCTCTGACACAGGGCAGCTCCGGCTAACGTCCCACAACGGCACAGCGATCTGAGAACCACCAACCAAGCCACCTAACTGCACTCCCAACAAAACAAAAAAAAAACGCTCAGAGGTCTGAGAACGTGCCAGGCCACAGCCAGATTCGTCAAGGAAAGCACTAAAGATCGCTCGTGTAATTTGAAATCCCATGGATTGCGCAGTTAAACGGGCCCTTCGGGAGCCACTCCGGTCCCCACCCGGAAGTCATCTCGGTGACTCCTGCCGCCATAGCATCCCACCATTGGCCCGGGCTGCGGTGTAAGTGCCATCACAAGAAGGAACCCGCAAATCCTCTCCGGCTCGCAGGTCTCACCAGCAAACGAAAGAGCCAGCGCTGGGTTCTTCCCGTACCAGTACCCGGCCCTTTCGCCAGGGACCCCGGCGTGCCCTGACATGGTCATTGAGTTTTTTCCCACTTTTTATTTTATTCTGCCGCGCCCCTTCCCGGCCCAACGTAACCAGCTGAGGGAGGCGTGCACCGGCAAAGCGCCCTCGACGCCGCCAGCCCTTGAAACGTGTGACGAAACCTCACAGAACAGGCCTCTGTCGCATCGCCCGCCTTCAGCATCTCGTCTTCGTTTCTCGGTTGGGCATGGGCAAACGGGCAGCAAAGTGGACGCTGCTCGCGTCTCGGGCAGCTAGCATGCAAAAGGTTTTAAACCGGCTCGCCCTCAACAACAAACGTCTGGGCAAGACTCTGCAACTGTCCCTCTTATTAACAAAGGCTCTGGTGGCCCAAACGACAGCCGCTTCTGCAACTGCACCCAAGACCCGGACGGCTGGCCCTAGTCACCCTCGTAATTCTAATAATACTGCTAAACTCACGCCGCAGGGGGCACTTTTCCTGCACCTGGTCCAGCCCTGCCTCGAGCTCGCCCCGTGGATTTACAGTCTCGTTTTCCTCGCTCGGTTGCCCTTCCTTCCTCTCCCGACTCTCACACATGCAATGGCGTCGTATCCGCTCAACACCAGCACATCCAGCTCCGACATCTCAACACCTCGGTCGATCTCCCCCTCATCCTCGGTGGCGTCAGCCCGCTCCTCGCACTCGTCTATATCTAGCTCCAAGCGCATGTCCATCTCGTCTACCCGCAGGATCTCAGCTGCCAACCCAATGTCCTCAGTCGATATCGCAGCCATTGAGGAAGCCATGAGAATGGCCAATCTCGACACCCTCCGCGGCTACAGCCAGAACCGCTACGGCGAGGTGCGCCAGTATGCCACTACTGAGTACATCAGCCAGAGCCAGGCCCTCGGCTACCAGATGCTCTCGGAGCCGATGTGGAATAGAGGTGAGTCAGCTATTGTGGTCCCTGCGTTTTTCGAGCTTCCCCTCTCTCTGTCCGTCCGATCTCTTTTGTCTTTAAAGCGCCTCCCCGGTCTGTTACGGGGCCTTGAGCGGGTTGGGGACGTCACGACCGTACTTTGTTGGGACGCACTTGGAAACGTCATCCGGTCTCCCCCCATACATATTCCAGGCCATTGCTCCTTGCCGCCCCTACTCTTACCTGCCCATCGTCTCCTATCCTCCTGCCCATCACCCATCAACAAAGAGCTGTCTGGCCACGACTACCTTCACAATGCCGTCATCCACTTCGCGGGCTATACCCCGTCTGCGCGCGCTGGCCGCTAACTGTTCTCTTCCTCAAGGCCTCTCTTTCACCCCAGAACAACGTGTAGCCAAGAACCTGACCGGTCTGATCCCGCACGTCATGGAGGACAGCGACAAGCAATGCGAGCGCGCGCTCAAGATGATTCGGACCCGGCAAACCGGTATCGATAAATATCTCTACCTGTCAACCCTCAAGGCCGAGAACGTCGACCTCTTCTACCGCCTTCTTATCGACAACGCCAAGGAGCTCATGCCCCTGGTGTACACTCCCACCATTGGTGACGTCTGCCTGCAGTACTCTACCCTGTACACACGGCCCGAGGCGCTCTACATCTCCATCAAGCAGCGCAAGTCGATCAGGACGATGCTGAAGAACTGGCGCTACCCGAATCCCGAGATTTGCGTCGTCACGGACGGCTCGCGCATTCTCGGCTTGGGTGACCTCGGCGTGAATGGCGTGGGAATTCCGGTAAGTGGCCTCGGCAATGCCCAGACTGCCTGTGTTCCCCCAATGGGGATTGCTGGCGGGTCCCAAGACGTCGGTCGGCTAATATGTGCATGCATTAGATTGGCAAGCTAGCCTTGTACACGGCCGCTGCCGGTATCCACCCCGAAAAGGCGCTTCCAATTGTCCTCGACTGCGGCACCGCCAACGAGTCGAACCTCAAGGACCCGCTTTACCTCGGCTTGCGGGCTAAGCGCCCCTCTGTCGCCGAGCAGCAGGCATTCATGGACGAGTTCATGGAGGCTGCCGCCGAGGTCTACCCCGAAATGGTGGTTCAGTTTGAGGATTTTGAGAGCGAGAAGGCTTTCAATTACCTCGACCGCTACCGCAACAACTACAAGTGCTTCAATGATGACATCCAGGGTACCGGTGCCGTCGTTCTTGGCGGGTAAGCATTTACCCATTCCCCTGGCCTGCCCCCCACTCACGTGCACGCATGCATGTCTAACACACCTCACAGTTACATTGGAGCCGTCAACCTCTCTGGCGTCCCCCTCGAGGAGCAGCGCCTCGTGTTCATGGGCGCTGGTTCTGCCGGCGTCGGTGTTGCCAAGCAGCTGGTTGAATACTACACCAAGCGTGGTTTGTCAGAACAGGCCGCCAAGGACAAGTTCTGGCTTGTCGACACCAAGGGCCTGGTGACCAGGGACCGTGGCGATAAGCTCGCCGAGCACAAGAAGTACTTCGCCCGGACCGACAACAACGGCCACCAGTTCCGCTCTCTTGAGGAGGTCATTGAGTATGTCAAGCCGACTGCCCTCGTCGGCCTGACTGCCACCCATGGCGTCTTCACCGAGTCTGTTGTCCGCGCCCTCAAGGCGTCCGTTGACGCTGGCGGTCTCGGCCGTAGACCCATCCTGTTCCCTCTCAGCAACCCTCTCACCAAGGCTGAGTGCACCTTTGAGCAGGCCGTGACGTGGACCGACGGCACCGTCATCTTCGCCTCTGGGTCGCCTTTCTCGGCGTTCACTGTCAAGTCTAGCGAGCAGCCTGTGACGTACTACCCCAACCAGGGCAACAACGTCTACGTCTTCCCCGGCATCGGTCTCGGCGCCATCCTCTCCAAGTCTAGCCGCGTTACCGATAACATGATCTACACCTCGGCCGCCGCCCTCGCTGGCTCCCTCAACGCCGAGGAGGTCCAGAAGGGTCTCATCTACCCTCGGATCGAGCGTGTCCGCGATGCTAGCTTGATCGTGGCTCGTGAGGTCATGAAGGCCTCGCGCCGCGACGGCGTCAGCCAACTACCCGAAGAGCAATGGCTCGAGTGGGAGGAATGGGGAGACCCGGCCCTCGACAAGTACATCAAGGCTCGCATCTACGATCCTGAGCTCTGAGCACCTGGCTGGCACCTGCGCGCATTCGACGTTTCCTACGAAGAGTGCCGTTTTATTTTTTTCCCTAGCAGCTTGTACACTTTGCTTTTCCTGGGAGAAGCCAGCGACACATTCCTCTTGGGCCAATTTGGCCACCGCCTTTCTCTTTTTCTTGGTTAATGATTCCCCAACTTGTTGCTTTTCGGCCGACTACGTCGGGACGGCACGGTCCATGATTCATGCCTGGGCTGGGCTAGGATGGGATCTTGCATTGGGACGGAGGGATACACTAGACACGCGCAGCGATGGCGCTGTCCATTGCTGTGTGCGCCTCACGGGAGAGGTATGTTTTGCGCATAGATAAAAGATGAGCGCTTTTATTGTTAGAAAGCAGCAGTTCAATAGGTGTCTTCGTAATAAGGGAGGGCATTCGCTTCGGTGGATGGGGTTGGGCAAGTTGGGGTCGAATTGAATATACACGGTGTTCCAGTTTATTCCGCTTCCGCCACAGGATTTGATCGTATGCCTATTGTCGCCCGTTCCATTTCGCATCGCCTCTGGACATCCACGACTCGCCTTGCGTTTCAAACGCCCCGGCTTACTTCAAAACCTCCACCCATCGCCCAAGAAGACAGACCAACTCTGTGCCATGGGCACGTGTTGTTCAAATTGAGAGTGATAGCTCCTGAGTTTAACAGTCTTATCTTCATATGCGAACCACGCATATGGATCACAGTTTGTGTCGAGTGACAAACATGATGTAGATGCTGGATTGTTTATCACTCATGGATCCGGCTAAGACCAACCGACAAGGTGATGATATCAACTTGTTAGGGCCGGACAGATAGGTGCCTAAACAGCGGGCGACGAGCATCACGTCACCTGTGGTGGTGCATACCTATTCATAGAGAGTGTGGAGATGCTGCAGGTTAATACGGTACTAGAATGGTGGGAGTTACTTGGGTGTTGCAAGGTGTCCGATGCTATTGTATGTAAGGCATCCGAATTAACCAGCTATCTAGTCAGTGGCGTCTCCACCCAGCCTAACCCGAATATAGATAAACCCCTTTCCCACCCCCACTA